TAGATATTTAAATCCACTAAATATTAGTTATCTGATAATTAATTAGATAATTAATTAAAACTCTGAATTCTAGTTTATCTTTTTTAAATAAGTTATTAATTTAGATATAAATATATAATTTATATTTTCTTAAACAGAAAATATCTGATTTTCTAAATAATTATAAAAGACTTTTTTAGATAGTTTTATATAATATTTTCTAATTTAATTATTTATTTAATATTCTGTTTAGAATAAAAATAGCTAAATCTATTATTTCAGATTATAAAAATATAAGAAGTCCTAAATTAATTAATAAACTTCTTATTTTAAAAATAATTAGAGCTTCAGATTTTTTTATATATAGATTTTACTCTGAATAATAAACTAATAAATAACTAATTAATAAATCTTTAATATTAACTCAGATTAGAAAAATATTAAGATTTTAGTTCTAATTAGAATAAAATCTCTTGAATATTATTTTAAACTAATTAATAATTAATTAAATTATATTAATAATTAATTTTAAAATATCTGATTTAAAAGTTAGAGCTTGCTCTAAATAAAATTTTAAATAAAAATAATAAAGATAATTAATATATCTCTATTTATTAATTTTATTTATTATATAAATCAAGTCTTAATAAATTAATTTAAATATCTGACTTTTTTTCTTAAATTTTTGTCTTAAAATTTATTTTTCTAATTAATTAATTTTATATATAGAATATTTTTTATTTTAGCTTAGCTTATCTGAGCTAGTCTGTTTTAATAAATTAATAATATTAATTCTCTGAACTAAATTATTTAGATAATTTAGAATTTTTTTATTAGAATACTCTAATTTTTTATATTATTCTTTGACTATTTTAGATATTATATATTAATATTCTGAGAGTTTAATTAACTTAAGATTACGAATTAATAAATCTGAGATAATTAATTAACTTATCTTAATAATAATAATTATAATAGAACTAGATTTTTATTTCTATTAAATATAATATATTTTTTTAATTTTCTTAATTTAGTATAGTAGAGTTCTATCTGCTTATTTAAGAAATTTATTTTTTTTATTTAAAAATAGTCTTTTTTTATTAGCTTTTACAGCTGAGAGAATATTTATATAAAATTAAAAAATATAGATTATTTTTTTAAGTTTAAAATATAGATCTTTTCTATTTAAATAAATAAAATAAAAAATAATTATTTTATAGTCTTAAATAATTAAGATAGTATTTTTTATTTTTATTAATTTACTTTTATTTATAATAAAAATATAATTAATAAAAAAATTTAAGAAATTATAGATATAATTATCTGAAGCAGTATTAAAAGTTTATTAAAATAAATAAAATATTAATAATTATTCTAAATAAATAATTTATTAATTTATTATTAAGAAGATCTTTTCTGTCTTGACAGTTATTTTATTATTTTTATTAAATAAAGATAATATTTAATAAGTCTGATAATATTATTTAAAAAAATATTTTAATTTAAGATTATTTCTGAAAATATTTTTAAAATAATTTAAGATTTTAATCTTAGATTTTTATTCAGAATCTTTTAGTTTCTTATTAATATAAAAATAATTATTAAAATTATAAAATTTATTATTCTTATTTAATTTATATAGACAGGACTAATTTTTAAATCTTTATTTTTTTATTAATATTTTACTATTTTAAGAAATTTATTTTAATTTAGTTATTAAAATAATTATTAAAACAGTTAATTTAGAATTATCTAAAAAATCTTAAAAGAAGATATAGCTAATTCTGTTATTATTACTATTAATTAGCTTAATAAATTATTTAATTTAAGAATTTAGATAAATCTAATTATATATTTTTTATATTATTTTAAAAAATTTAGATAATTCTTTCTGATTATTTTTATTATTAATTAATTTTAATTATTAAATTATTATAAAATTGCTTATTATTTTCTAAACTGATTTAAAAAAGTTATAGATTATTTAAATAAAATTAATAATCTTACTTAATTTCAGCTCTACTGCTTCTAAATAAATAAGCTTTTATTAAATTATATAATTCTTAATAAAATTTTTTATTTCTAAGAATTATAGCTTATAATATTTATTAATAATCTTTTTTATACAGAATTAATTAATAGAGATAATTTTTTTTTTTAGAACTTATAAAATTTAATAGAATCTTTTTAAATTAAGTATAATATACTGATTTTGCTTGCTTAATATAAAATTTATTAATAAACTTAAAAAGACTAGTTTAGAGATAATTTTCTTCTATTTCTTAAATTAATAATTAAATTAATTTATAATTTTCTAATATAAAAGATAGTCTGATTTACTGAGATTTATTATTAAAATAATATAATAATTAAAGTCTAAAATAGATATAGCAACTGGCTTGATAAAATAATTAGATTTATTAGATAAATCTGGATTTATATATTCTCAGATATTTTTATTAATAATAAATAATTAAATTTGATTAATTTAAAGAAATTAATCAGATTAATTATTAAAGATAATAAAAATTTTCTTAAATTACTGATTTTAAGATATAATAAAGAAATAGTTAAAAAAATTTAAGAATTTAGATAAATCTTATTTTTTATTTAAAAATTTTATAATTTTCTATATAAATTTTAAGTCAGAGATAAAATAAAAATAAAAGAAATAAAAAAATATAAAGAGTCTTAGAGATATTAATAAAGAATTAATATAAGAATATAACTGGGCTTATAACTAAGAATTTTTTTTAAAAAATAAGAACTTTTTTTAAGAAGTAAGAACTTTTCTTAAGAAGACTTTATTAAACTTTTATTTTCTTATATAAATTAGATATAAAAATAAGATAAAAGTAAGAGAAAGATAAGAAAAGTAAAAGATAAAAAAAATTAGAAATTAAATAATTAAATAAGAACTTTTCTCTAATTTTTTAAAAAGACTTTACTAAACTCTTACTTTTTTATATAAATTAAATATAAAAGTAAGATAAAAGTGAGATAAAGATAAAAAAAAGATAAGAAAAAGATAAAAAAAATAATAAGAAAAATTAAAAATTAGATAAATAAAAAAAAGACTAAAAACTGATTTAACTTAATTAAAATTTATTAAAAAATTAATTAAAAATTAAGAGATTTTTTTATTTATATTTATAGCTAATTAGCTATTAAAAATATATAAAAATATATAAAATTATATAAAAATTATATAAAAATTATATAAATAGAACAGGGCTGAGAATAATAGAATTAGTAATTAAATAAAGACTAGAATAATTAATAAAAATAAGATTTCTTATTTTATTATAGGATAGACAGAACTTAGAATTATTAGTCTGCTAACTGATAGTCTAAGACAGCCAACTGGCCTGAGGCCGCAAATTGGTGAGCCTTAGGCAGCGAACTGGCGAGTCTGCCTATATTATTGACAATTTAATTTTCTTTGATTATATTATTGACTTCTTAAAATATATCTAGAACAAAGTATATACTCTTTTAATTTATTAATTATATTTTAATATATTTAGAAAACTTATTGATTTTTTTCTTTAATAAGAATTTCTTATTTTTTTATAGACTAAACTATTTAGATATTACCCAGATTTCTATATATTTTATTATTATTAGAAAGAAGTTTAATAATCTTTCTATTTTATATATATTAATTATATTAAGATTCTTAGCTTTAATAATAATTTTATTTAATATTTTTAATTATATTTTTATATTAATATATTATAAATTACTGCAGATTTTCTTATAATATTATCTATAATTATTTTAAAATATTAAATCTAATATTTAAAAATATTTCTGCAGAATCTGAAGTTTTTTTTATAATTTTTTTATTTTTTAAATCAGAGAATTAAATTTATTAATAATTAATTTTATTATTATAAGATTAATCTTTCTAATTATTTTAAGTATTAATTAGATAATAATCTTCTCTTTCTTATAAATCTTTTTTTTAATTTTATATAATAATTTTTTACTGAGATCTCTGAGAAGATTATTATTAATTATATTAATAATAATTAAGATAAATACTTCTTTACTTACAGATATAAATATATTTTAATTTAAATTAATATATTTTTAAATATTTGACTGATATATTCTAACTATAGCTTTAATATTTTTAATTTATTCTCTTTAGTTATATAGTATCTTTAATATTATAAAAATCTTTAAAATATTTATTATTCTACTTGTTTATATAATTTTATAATTTTTTAATTAAAAAATATAATTAATCAGTTGATTCGATTAATCAGAGATAGTTTAATAATTTAATTAAGAGCTTTTTTTAATAATAATATAAAATATAATTAAATAGAATAGCTAATCAGATTTATAACTGTTAGATTTAGAATAATAATATAATAAAAATCTAATTTTATAATACTGCTGCACAGGCAGTTAGACTATATAAATATAGAATTAGATAATAATCAGATATATATAAAATTATATATAGGGCTATATATAGGCTAATCCAGATTGATCAGGGGTTGAAGGGCTAAATCTTGTTTCATTATCATGCCAAGCCCTTGTTCCACTTGATAGTTAAGTAAGGTTGGCTCGAGGCCTTGTTCGGGACATTGGGCTATGCGTATTCGCGCTCAATGCGATAACAGAATGCTAAACTTGAGTAGTGTTTCGATTCACCCTGTGTAGAGTCCCATTGTGAAACATATTCCTTCTATTTTTGAAGTGGTCAACTGGCCAGTCCTTCGGCCGCCCTAACTATTCCCGATCAGGAACTAAGTCTCTCATTGGCCGAACCAGCCCATGGATCGTAGCCCTAGTCTCGACCGACATCATCAGATATCATCCACGTTAGGATGCGAACCGTCTTGACCAAACTAGGAAATGAATCTCTCATTGGATGGGAGCAAAAACCACGCAACACTATCTGTCATCTCCGACGCAGATATAGTAGAAGGGCAGGCAGGACGAGCTATATAAACCCCCGACTGACCTGCTGAATGACTCTCTCATCCAATTTCCTCCTCCCATCACTCCAATCTTCTTTACTATCCCATCCCACTCCATTTATTCTCGATACAAATCATTGTCAGAATGCCAGCCACCACCCACCCCGAATTCAACGACCAGACTGAAGCCCTGGAGGTCGCCAAAGCCTTCGCGTCCAGCATCCACGGCAAGACCATCCTGATCACCGGCGTCAACCCAGGCGGAATCGGCTTCGCAACCGCAGAGGCATTCGTAAGGCCCCCTCCCCGTTCCCTTTCCATACCCCCTACCCCTCGCTCCCTCATCCCTATATACCTCTATCCCTCTATACCACTCATCCAACCCATCCACCTCTTCACCAAACACTAACACTAACCCCAACCCTCTATCTCTACCAGGCCTCCCAATCCCCATCCCACCTCATCCTGGCCGGGCGCACCCCATCCAAGCTAACCGCCAGCATCACGGCCCTCCGCACCAAACACCCAGCAACAACCTACCATGCTCTCGAAGTGGACCTCTCCAACCAAGCCTCCGTGCGCGCCGCCGCCACGACACTCCTCTCCTGGCCCGACATCCCCCAAATCAACATCCTGATCAACAACGCGGGCATCATGAACCTACCCCACCGCACGCTCACGGCCGAAGGAATCGAACTAACCTTCGCAACCAACCACGTCGGCCACTTCCTCCTCACCTGCCTCATCATGCCGAAGATCCTCGCCGCCGCGGAAGCGGAAGCAGAAGCAGAGACAGAAGGAAACACCACCACCACCACCCGCGGCGCAACACGAATCATAAACGTCAGCGCGCTCTCCGCCTCCATCGCCAAAATGCGCTGGAGCGACCCGACCTTCGCGATCAAAAACAAAGACCTGCCCGTCTCCGAACAGCCGAATTACGATATCCTGAGACAGTGGGGCACCCCGGACCCGGAGGAAAGGTCCTACGTCCCCGTCGAAGCCTACAACCAGAGCAAAGTGGCCAATGTGCTCTTCAGCATCGGACTCACGCGGCGGTTGTTGGAGAAGTATGGCGTTCTCAGTCTGGCGCTGCATCCGGGCATTATTGAGACGGAGCTGGCGAGGGAATTTTCGGCGGAGCAGACTGCCGCGTTGGAGCAGATGTGGAGGGTTAGGTATGGGAGTTATAGGAGTTTGGGGGCCGGCGCGGCGACGAGTTTGGTGGCCGCGTTGGATCCGGGATTGGCGGTGGGGGTGGGTGAGAGGAGGGAGGGGAAGGAGAATTACGGTGCGTTTTTGGTCGATTGTCAGGTTAGTGGGATTGCCCATCCGTTGGCGGTGAAGGGGGAGGAGGCAGAGAGGTTGTGGGGGGATTCGGAGGGGTTGGTGGGGGAGAGGTTTGCGTGGTGATTTGTTTACTATTACATGTTGTATTGTTGTGTCGCTGGCTGGGTTGGGGGGTGGGTTAATTGATAAGAATGGGATCAGATTTTGATTTTGAGAGGATATATGTATGGATGTATTGGTTGTTGTGGAAACCTCTGCAGCTGATAACATTGATTTGATATAGAATGTGTAGACAAAGTCGTGTGGAATAACCCTAACTTGACCTCAGATATTGCCATGCAAAATTTGCCGATAGGGAAGTCAATCCCACAAAATTTATATAATTTGTAGAATATCCTCCAGGATATATGGTGCCTAATCAATAACAGCGTAACAAACACCCACCAACTCCCACACCCCCCTCCCCAGTGGCCCATGCAGCGCGCCAACCCACGGAAACTTGCAAACCAAGCCCTGCACCTCGGCCCAGCTCCTCATACCCATCCTCCCAACCAACCCGCAAATCCTCTCAACAAACCACCCCTTGCTACCCCCCGAGGTCCAAATCCCACCCAGAAACACCAGCCATAGAGCCAACTCAGGCTCCTCTTCATCGAGCCCACTCTCAACCACATCTCTGAGCCGGAGAGAAACCAGCTCGTACTCCAGTATTCGACGATGGTCGAATTGCAAGAACACGGTCATCATCAACACGATCAACCCGATGTGGTACGCTGCTTCGACGGTGCATTCTGGCATGGGACTTTGTAAGGGGCGGAAGCGGATGAGACGGCTGAGGATTGAGATGAGCATTTCTTGGAAGGCGCTGATGTTGATGGGCTGGTTGGGGGGGAGATGGTTTGATAGGGTGGTGAAGGATGTGGCGTCGATGAGGATATTATGGAGATAGGGGTTGAGGGAGTTGTAGGGGATTGAGGAAGTAGCTGGAATGCGATCGAGATTAAATCCCTTTGCTGATAGCATATTGGATACCTCGGAGAACCGGTCTCGGAAGAATACCACCGGCCCCCCGTATTGAAGGGCGTACGTTATGTCCGTTCTGTTCATAGTCAGATAGGGTAGGGTTCGAGCCGGGATCAGGTGCACCCACTTGCAGATCTTCAGCACCAGTGGATGGTTCCCCTCCAACCGGGTCAACCCCCCACGCAGCTCGACCATCTTCCTGAGCCCTTCGTAGTGGACCTTGCTTTCCCACTTCGCCTTTCGGAGCTGCTCCTGAAAGATCAGCATGAGGATGATTCCTAACGTGGAATCCGACAGAGCCTCATCGCTTTGGATTCTCCTATTGACCAGGGTGAATGCCTGCGATAGGTGGTGGAGCGCTTTCGCTGAGCTGACCCCCTGGCTGTAGAAGAACTCGTTGCATGTCTCCATCAAGGCGATGCTACAGTGTGCGGCTACGTACGGTTAGCCAGGGCCCGATTTGTGGTACGCAACTTACCGGCCTCGTCAGCGAGCATGTAGTTGAACCACATGGACTTTCCCTCGTCAAGCGATAGGCCAAGCTGTGAGGGGTACATCTTCTGCACCACGTACATGTAAACTAGGACTTAATTAGCAAGCTGGCAGAGCGGCTGCACGATCCGCTCACACTGGTTGATAATCCTCAGCGAATCGGGTCTGAGCTCTACCGGACAGGGGACGGTCAGGAACACATTTCCAATATTTCTCTCCACGGTAGTGCGAGGTAGACTGGTGTTTTTGCTTGTTTCCTTGTGGGATGTGCGTGGAGCCGAATAGCGATACGGTCGCTGCCGGGCCAAGTCCAGCCTCGAGGCGCGATGGAAGGTTTTCCCGGAATTCTTGCCCTTCATCACATGGCTGCGCAGTGACCTTTGGCTTTTCCGGTCGACCTGGGCATCAGATACGAAGTGAAATGTCTTGTTCATGGTGCTGAGGGCGTCACCAACGCGGGCTGTTGTATCGAGGATAATCGGGGACAGGACGGGATGTCGTTCCTCGTTGAGACGGGGTTAGCGGAGATAAGCACTAGCCCGCCGATCGGACTTACTATAGCATACGGTTCAGCTAAAGCCTTATTCCCATGGGGCTGAGAAAAGATTTACTGTGGCCCCTGATTTTGACTGACGCCGGTGGAGCCTCATCAAAAGCGTCATGTTGACCTGCTTGTCATGGCTTGAAGTTATGAAACTATCAGCTGAAGAACATCTACCATACTCCCCACCATGTTTTGTCCTTGAATTACACTGAAATGTGTCGTATTGTTTGTAATGCGCCGGATATTCCCCTAAAAATGCCTACTTCGTAGCATCTACTACAACCATAAACCCCTGTACGTATAACACACAATATATATATATATATATCTATCTACTAGTATATCTATATCTATGAATAGAGAATGCATACCACCTGTATTTCCTACCAGAAAACCTCCATATCGACTTCATATCGGCTCATACCCATAGCCCTCCTCATCAAGAATATACAATCACGTGATAGATATGTTGTCTGTAGCAATCGGTGTCTCTATAACAGCTTTCCCAACATCTCTCCATCATGATCAGGTATCTCTTTTCTCTTTACCTCACGGTGCAAAGTTAAGAAGAGAAACCAATCAAGTCGGCCGGATGGTGTAGTTGGTTATCACGTATCGTTAACACCGATAAGGTCCTGGGATCGAGCCCCAGTCTGGTCATTTCTTTTTGCTTTTTTTTTTTTTTTTTTTTGTTTTTATTCACTGGAGAAGTGGGTAGAGAGATAGACCCACATATACGGGCTTAATTAGCCTAATGGATCTTGAGTTGAGTTGAATAAAAATTAATTAAATTACGCTATTAAATAGAAATGAAAGACGCAAGGTACGGATGATATGATATTGATATATGGTCAGAAAAGAATAATATATCCCCATGGAATCGATCCTATCATCCCATCCAGGTAACAATCCTAGAATATACTTTTTATGCATATTTCCCTCCAGCAATATCTCAGAGATCTTTCAAAAACAAATAAACCTCAGTTCCATTCACAATCCCCCCCCAACCTACACCAACACCTCCACCCTAGTTGTTGATATGGTCGCTGAAGCCGTGGAAGGGGAGTAGTTTGGCTACGGGGCGAGACGGTGGTTGGCTGTTGGGTTGGGCGGGTTAGCCATGAGAAAAGGGAGGATGGATTGTGGTAAGTGGATTGGAAGGAGGAAGGCCAGTGAAGTAATTGGTTTTTATACCTTCCATGTCTTCTGGTACAGGACAGTTCCATCCTGAAGACGGAACCCGCCCTCTGTGGTGATGATATCGGCCATGAGGAAGACAGTGGTGACCCTTGATTGAATTGAGCAGGGTCTAAAATTGAAGGAAAGAAAGAAAGAAAGAAAGAAAGAAAGAAAGAAAGGAGAGCACCGTGACCGTGGATGGCATTAGGGCAAACTTCAGTTCCCGGGGCCTAGTTGGGATATATATATACGTGTTGTCGCCGAGGGCTACATGCTGATTACCGTTTCAATACTACACAGCAAGTTGCAAATCTGGCTCTTCCCACTTATTTGGTAATTTCAACCAGATTTGAAAGACTCTGCAGGATTACAGCTTACTGTACATGTAACAAGGTCGTCCCATCCCATCCCGTTTACCCGTAGTAGATATATACCTAACAGAAACACAGGCTGCCATCCATCCTCACACCAGTTCCGCATATACCGCCCTCTCCAACGCACTAGTCAACGCCGCGAACCGGGTATCAGCAGGAGAAATGACCTGGGTGAAGGTAGTAGCAGCGACGCCCTTGGCGCGGTCAATCCACCAAAACATATTCGGACGGCCGGCCCACTGCAAGGATCCGGCGGAGCGTCTCCCAGGCACAGCGTCCATGTAGAGCGGCCCCCCGAAGGCGATCTCAATCGCACCGGCCTCCATAGCCACCGTCGAGAGCAGGGATGCGCGCAGCGGGCCAGACAAGAGGGCCTGCAGCTCGGGGACGTCGGCCGTCTGTGGTCGGAAGATCTCGTCCATGCTGGCGGGCGAGAGAAGGGGGGCTCCGTCCGCAAGAACCATGCCCAGGAACCGCGTCCAGTCGCGGGGCGTCGACCATATGCCGTGGCCGCCGCAGTCGTGCCGGGCTGGGATGTGCGAGAGCGGTCCCCGTGGTGCGAGGCCTTGGTCGTTGGTGCGCTCGTACATGGGCACGATCCGGTCCATCATGCCCGGGTGTCGCTCCGGGTGGAAGGTCGTCGAGTCCATTCCGAGAGGTTCCCAGATGTTGACGCGCATCAATTCCTCCAGTGTCGTGTGGTTGATCCGCGCGATGTACTCCCCTGCCCAGTCGAAGCCGGAGCCGTACATCCAGCCTTCGCCTGGCTCGAAGATGAGCGGGTAGGTCTTCATTGCTTCCTGCGAGGGGGTTAGCTATCGATTCGATGGGTGTTGCAATAAAGAGAAGCGGGGACGTCTTACAAAGTCACTGTCAAAGGTGCTGCTCGTCTGGCCGTTCTGCCGTCCCCATCGGGGCAGCCCCGGACTCTCGTGGTATCCGCAGCCGCTCTGATGGCTCATCAGTAACCGCATCGTGATGGGCTTGGTTCGAGGTTTCGTCCGACATTGTCCTTCGGCGTCGACCCCGTCGAGCACCGGGAGCGAACACAAGTCCGGCAGGATCGGGGCCACGTCATCGTCGAGGGAGATCTGGCCGCGCTCCACGCACTGCATTATGGCGACGGTTGTCATGAGCTTGGAGAGAGACGCCATCCCATACACCCCGTCAAAGTCTGCGGGGGTGCCGCCATCTTTGGACATTGTGCCCTCGGTCAGCGAATACAGTTGCTCGCCTGGGAATGTGGTCAGTTGGTCTGTCGTCTGATCCTGGGGGGACTGGGAAACATACCATTGCGATTGATGACGGTGCATACGTAGGAGTGCATGACGGGTTGAGGGTCGGCAATCGCTCTTCGCACTGCCTGAGCGAACTCGTTGATCTGACGTCCAGATGGGATGTTGGAGCCGTTCACACCATTGATGGTACCACTTTTCTCATGAACGCCATTCCATCCATTGACTCCATTCGAGCCACTTGCTCCATCAACGCCACTGGCTGCATGAGTCCGACCCTCCTTCTCAGGGATCGTAACAACCGTCGCCGCCACCTCTGCCGCAACAACCTTTGCCTTGGCAATGGTATCAAAGATGCTCCCTCCCAGCGACTTGGGGGTACAGGAAGGGGCCAGGAGCTGCAAGAACGACATGCCCAGGCCGAACCTCTGGCTCAGCCAATGGATGAGCTCGCTGCCGGACATGCTGTCGAGGCCAAAGTGCGAGAAGGGGCGACTGATGTCGATGTCCTCGAGCGGGATGAAAAGGAGCTTGGCCAGACGCTGAGCGACAGCCTCAGCCAGGACAATCATGGCCCTGTCGCGGTCGTCGGCGTTGACATCCGCGGCCGCATCGCCGGCGGTTCCTCCGCTGGCGGCGGCCTTGCGCGACTCGAGCGTCGTGACGAGCAGTGCGGATCGGCGGTCTTGCTCGATGCGGCTGACCTGCACCATGCTGAGGTCATGTTTGGAGTACTCCACCCCTGTGAGGATGTGGCCTTGGGTCAGGGAGTCGAACGTCTTGGACGCTGGCTGTGCGTGCGTGGTGAAGCGTTCGAAGTGCCGGATGAACTCGGACTCTTCGGCCTCGATCAGTCCGGACCGGAGAAGGTTCTCTGAGTATTCGGGCTTGCGGTTGAGTGTCCCCACGCCCTTGATGGGTCCTAGTGACACGGTGGCCACCGGCAGGCCGAGACGGACGCGCTGTCGCGCCAGGTTGTCCAGCACCGCGTTGGCGGCGGCGTAGTTGGCCTGCGAGATATGGCCCACGTAGGTGACGGTGGAGCTGGTCATGAAGAAGAAGTCGAGGTGCGGCTTCTCCCCCAAGACCAGATTGAGATCAAACGAGAAGAAGCTGATACTGCGATCAAACACATATAATCCCATCTTGCCCTTGTCGAGGACATTTCCGCGCCCGACATCCACGAATCGCCCACACGGCGCGACGCACTTCAAGCTCTCATGGAACCCAGGCCCTGAAATGGTCGACAGCACGACATCCACGCCACGGCCCCGCGTCTGCTTGAGCAGATCATCCTTGAACTGCAGCGACCGCGACCAGAAGATGTGATCGGCGGGGATCCCGCACTCAGCGACGAGATAATCCTTCCAGGGAGTCGGGTAGATCACATATAGTACCTTCAAGGGTCCAGGTAGGTCGCTGCTTCAAGCGCGACAAGGCCAAGTTGAGCTTTTTGAACGTCCGCTGCACAGATGGGTAGCAGTCAAGGAGCTGGCGTCCCATCTCGGCCCATTGCGCACCTTGACCGGTGAAGACAAAAGCCACAATCGGAACGGTATTGTTCGTCCGACCCCGGATAGGCTCTCCGATGGTCAGGTTTCGGGCCATGTCCATCTCCACAGGAATCACGGCCCGATGCGAGAATTTCGTGCGTCGCGCAACCATGGTATACAGAAGCTCGTGAAAGTCATGGGTCTGGCCATCCACCACGCCTATCACGTTCTCCAGGCTCTTGCACATTGAGTACTCATCATGGCCGGTGATTGGCAGCCGAAATTTGTTCTGTACAATCATGCTGTACGGGTCGATGTCCGCTACCTTGGTGTAGGGGCCTATGCCAGTGATCAAATACTAGGCCAGCCAAACTCATTGCCCCTCCAACCCCTACTACCACGTCTGTCTCGCAGCCCAATACACCCCGGCCTGCCACCCCGACTATCTCTCCGCGTCCGCCCACGCCCTTCTCTCGCGCCCCACCGCCAGCACGATAGTCAGATTCTTGAAGATCGTGTACACGGGCACCGAGAGCTATTGTAGGGCTTTGCTGCCGGTGTAGATTGTTGGATTGTTGTGATGAGATTGGGAATCCTTTTCTTATGGTATCTTCATTTGTTGGTTAATTTTCTTTGCCGGGGGTGGTGGCATTTTGGCTGGTGGTGAGCACGGTTGAGCTGGTGGAAGGTGGAAGGAGGTGTTCGTGCCTGGGTTTAGGGTTCAGGATTTAGGATTTAGGGAGGCGTGATTGTCTGGAGAACGGGGTAGATGGATAGATAACCCTGTTCTTTTCTTTAATTAGATGGCTGAAATTAACATAGCACGTCATGGGCTATGTCCAGGTGCAGCGGAGTCCGTCGGTGTCCATCGACCCCTGTCGTGTTCTGGCGCGAGGATCTATTTTGGATTGAGGGGTGGTTTCGGATGGCGAGGGGGTAATAAGCGTTACTAGTGTCGAGGATGGAGGGTGCTGTGAAGCAAAGCCATGACGGTAAGGGTGTATAGGCACCTGGATAGGTGTGACGGTGTTCAATCTAACAGGCCTGGGTTTATTGGAACAAGGTATTTCATTCAATCTATCATTAAAATATATCGTATCGATGCGTCCTGATCGATGCCTGCAATCTATGCCTGCGCCTCCTTGATGTGGAAGCTCTTCAGCTTGTAGAACGCTTCAAAGGCCGCCGGCCCCAATGTGCATCCCAGGCCGGAGTTCTTCCATCCGATCCACGCCAGATCCTGTCATCGTTAGCAAAACTCAAAAATCAAACTTCAGAGGGGATACGCGTACCGGACTCGGGTAATCGCAGCGGTTGATGTACACCGTCCCCGCCTCCAACTCCTCGATCAGCTCCTCGCCCTTCTGGATGTCCTTCGTCCAGATACTGGCCGTCAGACCGTAGTCGCTGTCGTTCATCAGGCTGATCGCCTCCTCATCCGACGCCACCTTCATGATCGGCATCACCGGGCCGAAGGTCTCGTCCTTCATGACGACCATGTCGTGGGTGACATTCGTCAGGACTGTGGGAGACAGGTAGTTGCCATCTGCAGGGGTGTTCTCGAACGTAGGGTTGGAGGGGGTGGCGTTGACAGCGCCCTTGGAGAGGGCGTCGGCGATCTGCGACTGGATGTTCTTGAGAGATGCTTGCGAGACGACGGGACCGGTGGTGGTCGATTTGTCGTGGGGGGAGCCGAGTTTGTAGCTTCCACTTATTAGCAATGCACGATAGATCTATCGGTAGGGAACCCACCCAGTCAACTCCTTCTGCACCTCCTCGACGAACTGGTCGTGTACGTCCGCGTGCACGTACACCCGCTCAACAGCGCAGCAACTCTGTCCGGAGTTGAAGACGGCGCCGTCGACGAGCTGCGCGGCCACGTAGGGAATGTCGGCGTCCGGTCGGACGTACGCGGGGTCGTTGCCACCGAGCTCGAGGTTGACGGGGACGATCCGGCGGGCGGTTGCCTCGCGGATGCGGACACCACCCGCGGTGGAGCCGGTGAAGGAGATGAGCTGGATCTGGGGGAGCTGGACGATTTCATCCAGGATGTCCGGGGATCCGCAGTGGATGAGCTGCAGGACGTTGGGCGGGAGACCGGCCTCAGTGAAGTAGGTGAGGAGACGTTCGCCGAAGATGGGGGTCTGGGGGGAGGGACGGAGGAGGACGGTGTTTCCGGCCAGGAGGGCGGGGAGGAGGGCGTTGATGGTGACGAGGTAGGGGAACTGTGTTGTCAGCGTTTTGACATGCGGTCCTGGAGGAAGTAGAAACCTACGTTCCACGCGGTGATGATCAGTGTCGGGCCGACCGGGGCCTTCTTCAGGAATCGCCTGAAGCCGGCCTCCGGAGAGCCAGGCAGAGGCTTGAGGCAGTCATCGGTGATGCTGAGGAGGTAGTCGCCACGCTTGCGGAAGGTCTCGATCTCCTTGGCGCTGAAGGCGATCGGACGACCCATCTGCGTGGTCAATTCCTCAGCGAGCGTCTCCTTGTTGGCCTCGATCAGATCCAGCGCCTTGAGGATAATCTCCTTGCGCTGCGACAGCGGGGTCTGCTTGTATGTGCGGAAGGCATCCTGGGAGGCCTGGGCGATCTTGCGGGCTTCCTCGACAGAGACGCCGGGGTGCTCGAAGATGACCTTGTTGGTGGAGGGGGAGAGGGTGCGGATTGGGTTGGACATGTTGGGATGGAGAGGTGGTGGGATGTGGAGGAGGGGAAGTGAGATGAGGGGCAGCGCGTCTTATAATCGGCCTGATAACTTGATGCCCGCCGTGGCAGGCCGCAGCGCGCTGATTGGCGCGGTCTGGGTGGAGCGCGCTCTGAGTGGGCCGAGGCTGTCCGCGTCCGTTATCGGCATGCCCTTCCTTCTGAATCATCATACCGTCATTAATCGGGTTATCTATCACATTATTTCATCAAGATTGCAGACAGAACTATTGTGTTATGTACATCCTACTCCAGAAGCCCCAAGGCAAACCGACACATCGTTTCGGAAAACACCAGCCCGTCGTGTTCGTTCTCTACCCGCGCCATCCCGTCCGCATACATCGTCTCGTCGAACACTCCCCTCTCCCGTCGCAACTTGAGCAGCTCGGAAACCATAAACGCATTGTACTCCGGATGCCCTTGAACACAGAGTATCCGTTTCGGGACGTACAGCCCTTGAATCCCGCAGATCGCGGTGCTACCCAGATTCACGCACCCCGGTGGAACCTCGTACACGATATCGCGGTGCATCATATGCAGGGCCTGTAAAGTCAGCCATCATCCACAGATCCAACGTCGTCCGGTCCTCCTAGGAAGCCGTGATGGGGAGTTCTCTGCTGCTTCGGTCTTCCTCCATCCAACGTACCAGGTCATTCTTCCCAAAAAGCGACCTCCCGCAATGTGTCAGAGCTATTGGCTCTACCGCAACCTCCCATCCCGATACATTGGGTCCCACGCGCGCCCCGAGAGCCCGCGCAATCACCTGGTGTCCGAAACAGATGCCGACGATGGGTTTGTGGTGGACGAGGTAGCAATCTTGCACGAATTGCACCAGGGTGAGGATCCAGGGGTCGTCTCTGTAGGAGTCGTGTTCTATTCCTTAGCTTAAGGGGTGGCCATTTGGAACGGAAGGAGGACTCACTGCTTCCGGTCAGGAGCACGACGTCAAAGTCCTCCGGCTTGGGGTATTCTGCGGATGGCTGCACCACGTCGATCTTCGCCAGTTCCAGCTTGGCCTTCACCCCGATGCGCGCGAGGCCTTCTTTGATATGGTTCTCGAAGACATCGCCGTAAGTGCCGTAGTTGGACTGGATGGGATCGATGGGGGTGTCGCATTCCAGGACGGCGACGCGGAGACGTTGTGACAGCATGGTGTAGTTCTGTCCTGCTCTTCCTGCGGTATGATGTTAGAGATGGGCCCGAGGATAGGAAGGAAGCACCCATAAGATATCTATCAACCCCTCACCCCTCACGGATAAGATAAGCGCGGTCTGCCCCACCGCGCGCTCCGAGGGCGGGACCGCCCTAAACAGCAGCGCCATCGCGGTTCTCCATCTCCAACTCCCCAACTCCCCAACTCCCCAGACACAATCACCCATTACGCGATGGAAACGCCGCCGGCCCTCGGCCTCGATCCCATGGAGCTATCCGCCCTGACCCTGGCCCGTCCCTGACGTCTTTACCCTTTAAAGCCATCCCCCCCTCAATCTCTCTTCTCCGTCCACTCCTCCAAACATCCCCCCTCCCCCTCCCCCCTCACAATGGCTCCCACACAAATCACAGCAGACGACCTCCCCGCCCTCCTGGCCGATGACATCAAGGTCAAGGTCGCCGGCGTCGACTGCGATGGCATCCTCCGCGGCAAGGTCATGTCCAAGGAGAAGTTCCTGGGCATCGCGCAGAAGGGCTTCGGCTTCAGCTCCGCCGTCTTTGGTTGGGACATGCAGGACGTGCTCTACACCACAGACGCGAAGATCGCCCCGGCTGATTCGGGCTACGTCGACTTTCTGGCTGTCCCGGACCTGAACTCCTTCCGTCGCATCCCCTGGGAGGACGATATCCCGTTCTTCCTTGTCCGGTTCGTGCAGGACGATAAGCCCGTCTCGGCCGATGGACGCAGCATGTTGAAGTCGATATGCGATAAGATGGCCGCGAAGGACTGTCTCGGCATGGCTGGAGGTAGGCCTCTTCCTACCATCTAGTCCTCAATGAACTGTATGCTAATCCTGCAGTCGAATTGGAATTCATGAACTTCCAGACCCCGTCCGAAGACGGATACGGCCCCAACGCCTCCCAGACCCGAGACATCGCCGCCTTCCTCGACAAGAACGCCCCTGGCGCCCTGCGCCCTGTCACAGTCGGCAGCTTCTCCTACAGCGCGACCCGCCCGGTCGCGTTCAAGAACTACTTCTACGACATCTTTGACACCGCTGCGCGGTTCAACTGCGGCATTGAGGGCTGGCACACCGAAGGCGGGCCGGGCGTGTACGAAGCGGTAAGCCACCACCCCCTCCCGACCTTAACCTCCACCAACCATTCTAACATCGACCCTCAGGCCCTGAAAGTATGCGAAGTCAACGAAATGGCCGACAAAGTCTCTCTCTTCAAGTACGCCCCCTTCCATCCTCCTCAACCCCCTCAACCCACCCAACTAACCACTCCCCACCCAACGCAGACTCCTCGCCAAGTCCATCGGCATAACCCACAACATCACCCCATGCTTCATGGCCAAGCCCATGCAAGGCCAACCCGGCAGCTCCGGACACATCCACGTATCCCTCACCGACCTAAGCGGCAAGAACCTCTTCGCGCGGGACACGCCCGACCCCGACACGCCCTGGGCGGACTGCGCCTCCCTCTCCGACCTCGGCCGACACTTCCTCGCCGGCATCCTCGAAGCCCTCCCCGACATCATGCCCCTCTTCGCGCCCACAATCAACTCCTACAAGCGGCTGGTCGAGAACTTCTGGGCCCCCGTGAACATCTCCTGGGGCCTGGAGGACCGGATGGCCTCCGTGCGCATCATCACCCCGCCCGTGTGCAAGCCCGGCGCGACCCGCTTCGAGGTCCGCATCCCCGGCGCGGACCTGCATCCGCATTACGCCCTCAGCGCTATCCTAGCGGCTGGGTGGAGGGGCGTCGAGAAGAACCTCGAGATTACCGTCCCGCCGGTGTCGGCGCAGAAGTCTGCCGGGGTTAAGGCTGAGTTGCTTCCGAATACCCTCGAGGAGGCCCTGAGGAGGTTTAATGCGGATGGTAGTGTCGCGAGGGAGATTCTCGATGCCGAGTTTGTCGATTTCTTTACCGCCACGAGGGAGCATGAGTTGAGGGTTTGGAGGGAGGCTGTTACCGATTGGGAGTTTAGGAGGTATGTTGAGACGGTTTAGGTTGGTTGATTGGTTGGTTGGCTTTAGATTAGATACCTATGTGCATATGTATATGTCGTGATGATTTCAATCTGTTTCTGTGCGCTGTTTTAGGCTCTTTTGGGATTCTGATCAGATACATGTGTAAATGGACAACCCGAGTACAGACTTTTTTTTTTTTTTAAGAACTATATTCTCCGTAGATGACTTAACTTGCTGCTGAAGAAGTGATCAGAGGAATATACCGTCATGTATAGACTGAATGGATACTAGCTGATGATGATGAAATTTATACCGGCACGCAGAACACAGAAACTAGTTATCATACTGATGAATGAGTAAATACATACATATGCAACGCAGGCACGCACACACGCAAAAAAGGGTATACATCAATGGATTGCATTACGCATTACATATCACGCATCACTGGCCGCCTCCTCGACGGTGGCCTGTTCCGCCTTATTCTTCCGGAGCTTCTTCGGGGGTGTCTTGGGGGGCGTGGGCACGCCCTGGTCTTCTTCATCTTCCTCGCCATCTCCATCATTCTCCCCCTCCTTGGCTTTTCCATTCAGGCCTTCGGTGTCATTCTCATTCTCATGCTGGGTCTCCGCCTGCTCGTCCAGTGTGGCCTCCTTATTTAGGCTGTGGTGGAGGGCATCTTCATCTTTGGCTTCGCCATTCTGTCCCTCGCGCTGAATATTCTTACCCTTGTTCCCGATCGCGGGCAACGGCTTCTCGGTATCGCTTTTGGCGATCTCCGTCCCGGACTCCTCGACCTGCTTAGTCTTGCCTTTGCTCTTGGCTTTGGCGCGTCGGATCAGTTTGTTATGGTAGTCTCGGCCTTCGGCCTCGGGGTCTTCTTCGACGATGCGGCGGGCGGCTTCGCGGCCGATGACGGGCAGGCGGTCGACGCCTTCTGGGGATCCCTCGGGGATGAGCTTCGGGTCGATGAGGCCGAGCTGGACGAGCACGCTGGCTTGGTCCCAGTACATGTGCTCGGAGTATAGGCGACCGGAGCGGAAGCTGACGATGCTGACGAGGATGACTTCTACGTGGCGGTTTGTTGGGGGGATGCCTGGGAGCATCCATGGGACTTCCTGGCTGTGTTCGAAGGATGCGTATAGCTCGTCGACGATGCGGTCCGCGCCGGCGGTTCGGGAGATCAGACGCAGACGCATCGATGGGGGGAGTTTCCTGAGGAAGTTCTGCTCGTAGAAGCGACGGAGCGCGTGGGTGCCGATGGCGCCGCTCATGGTTGGTACGCAGGTTAGGCTGGGGGTGAGGTGGCCGACGTAGGGCTCCATGGTTGAGGCGAGGTTCATGGAGAAGAAGCGAGCTGAGTATCGTTAGTATTGTTCTTGTGAAGATGGTATACAGCTGCTTACCCTCCAGTTCCTCCTCCCATTTCCCTTCCAGATCCCTATCCTTCCCGTACGCCTTCCGCAGCGTCTCCAGCGTGCGACTCCACGCCAGATCCGACGCCAGCCGGTCATACTCCTCCAGATCGTGCTCCGCGAACCCCGGCTGCACCGACTCGTACGTGAACGCCGGCCAGCCGATCTTCAGTCTCTCTCCGGTGCCGATGCCAGGATCGATCCGCTTCGTCGAGCGGTGTCGCTTTCCTTGCAGGCCGATCACGGTCGGGATCGTCACCACGTCCACCGTATTGCCGGCCAGATGCATCAGCACTTTCACCTGGAAGGAGAACCGCGATCGCGGGTCCGGGATGACGGTGGGGTAATATGCAATTAGGGCTGCGAGACGGCTGCAGTTTGTCGATTTGAGGTAGTAATCCAGACAGAAGGACGCGGCGTCGCCGAACGCTGACCCCGTTAATGCCACATCTTGAGAATTGGGAATTGGAACTGGGTATAATCCCTCACTCACCGATAATCCCATAATTATCCCCCACGCCCAATCCATCCTTTACGGATCGCAAGCGACCCTCATATTCCTTCCCGCCATTGTTGTAGGGGACATACACCACGTCGAACCCCTCGTCCGCCCACCCACGGATCGTCTCGTTATCGAAATCCGCCGTCTCGGCGGTGATGCAAAGCCGGGCAGTGCCCAAGTTGTGGTTGTTGTAGAGGAAGCCGCTCGCGCCCGGGGCGCTTATCGATATGGAGGCCATTTGGGAGGAATCGTGGGCTGCGAATGCTGTGTTGCCAGAATTTCAGGTATGGAATGCCCTCGCTGGGGAATTGGGAGAGGGTGTGAATGCGGCCGGTTGGAGTAGATATTGCGCAGGGACCGCGGATGCTCGGCGGGTGGCTACGTCATCATGACGACGCGACCAGGGCAGCAGGCTGGAGGGTGTACGACTCTGCATCATCGGTCTCTTGCTGGTACCAGTCGAGTACTGCGAGATCGTAGTATCTGGAGCACGCACCTGATGGCCTGATCCAGTCAGCTGGATTTCTGTCCCGTTGATGCATTGATCGGCCGCTGGGAGATGTCATTGGGGCTGCCGGGGGGGGGAATGTTCCACTTCTTTATATATTTGTGTCATAGACTGAAGTGGACTTTTCTGGCAGGAGGGAACGTATGGAAGGGCGTACCGCAAAGGTATTTGGTAGCTATGGTGGAGAACTGTTGCTTGGATGAAGTATGCGAGAACTAAAGTGTGCCAGAACCCAAGGAACCTGTCAGTCACGGGCGCGTCATGTGATTGTTGCCTGAGGCGATGTATTGTTGCTCTTTTTGGATCTTGGATATTCTACAATCTGACCTCCACCTCACCACCCATCCGATTCATCGCGGACACGTATATAGTCTGACTGGAGGAGTCGGGAGGGAAAAGCCAGCCCGGCATTGTTTTTGGTTCTTCAACTCCCTGTGTCCCTGATTACCAGGGACCAAATGGAGCAATATGAAGACACCGAGGCGGATAGAGAGATGATCTCTCCCACTGCCACAGCGCGTTGAGAACAACCGGGCGAGAACTGTTCCCCTCCAGTTGGCCAACTCGAACTCGATGCTCTCGCCACCACCAAAGTAAGGCCCTCTTCGTGATCCTCCCCACGCATGATTACATTCACGTGTATCTAACCTCAATCATATCTGCATTAAAATTGTCGCGTCATATTTATCCACTCAGGGTGGACGTTCCTGCCATGCAAGGCAAGGCAGAGGGCGGGAAGAGACAGGTGTGTATCTATGCAGCACCGTTGGAATTGGTTGAGTTGGGTATGTATGTGACTGACAGCTGACAGTCTAGTTTAGCATCTATACTTGGAGAGAAAATGCATTCTCGCTCTGTATACCACATATACAACTCAACATGTTTACCTCCACTTTGAGCACCAGAACGTGTTGCTCAACCGGTCTCACTAATTAATAGTAACTCCGCTCCCAATTCCCAATTATCATCCTCCCTTTCTCCCCCTCCCCCTCCCCCTCCACACGTTGCATAACCCCCCAGCCTTCCACCAAGCCAGCCCAAATGGTAACGTCAACGCCACCAAGGCCGTTAAAACGGTCAGACCGATGATGGACACCCAGTAGGACCACCGCGCCACATCACTAGGGACCTGGTTCATGCCGAAGCAGCTCTGTTTCGAATCAGCAGATCGCCCGGGCTGTGTGATTGAAGGACGCACTGTGATGCGTGAGACAGGGAGATAGGTCTGGCCTATAATCAGTGACTGGGCTCTTGTGTCAGGGAAAGGACGCACGCACGATGGTGATGTAGATGAGGATTTCGATGTTGTTGCCTTGGCGGGTTGCGGTGATGCTTTCGAGGAGGGCGGAGGCGTGGACCAGCTGGATGGAGTGGTACAGGGTTAGATGATTTATGGAAGGTGTATTTATTTTGGAGTCGGGGGAAAGAAAGGGGCAAGGAGGGAGAGGGCACACCACATCGGACACCTTCCCCCGCATCTGCGAGAACTTCTCGCGGAATCTGTCCGGCAGCGCCCCCGCCGCGTCCAGATCGAGGCACGAGCTCTGCTCGCTGTCGAAAGCGTGCCATGCCGTGATCAGCTTCGCCAGGGAGTTGCGCAACCGTCGCAGGATCCCCAGCGTCCAGGTCCGCTGTTTGGTGCGTTCCAGCCCGAGGCCTTTCTCGACGAAGCTGAGGAGGGCGATTTCGTCGATTTCGCTCTGTGTCTGCTTGGTATATGATTGTTGTCAGCTGGGAGGGTGTGATGGTTTTACATATGGTGCGAGGCTCTTTTCAACGGCGTGGACTAGTTCGGTCCATTCCATGGTGACCTGGCTGAGGCGGACAGCCAGTACGGTGAGGAAGTAGTATCGCGCTTCCCAAATGGGAGCGTCCTGTTTCACGGTCCCACCGGACGGTGCGTCCATAGACTGTGGCAGTTAGCGCAAGGCCTCTGGTCTGGTCTCAGCGACATCTGACCTGTGAAACATTGATGTAAGGACTGAAGTCAATGTGTCTAGCAAGGAAAGATCGAATCTCGGGCAGGTGAAAGACGGTGGTGTTTTTGATTATTGATGGGCATACTGAAGGTGTTATATCTCTGTGGTGTATCTGGATCCCTTTCATAGCATTCCTCCAGTAGCCTAGAGGCTGGCAGCTGGCACGAACAATATTCTTCTCTCGGCCTTGTCTATTCTCTGAAACTCGGATATTAGCTATGGTGAGATACAATGGGCAGGTGCAGCTCACATCGTTCTTCACATGGTTATTTAACTCCCCTGCATTAAGAGCCTGAACATTGACATGCAATCTCATGTATTGAAGTGACTCCCACGCTCGTCCGTACTGAATCCTCCCTTGTCCTGGGGTAGCAATAACAGGAGTGGGATCACAGCGGTCATCCACAATCACTAATGAATCCATCCTGGAAGAGCATTTGGGTTTTTTGCATTCTCCCAGAAGCTTCTCAGATCTTGATAGCGCTGTGGGGGCTCCAGCTCCAGCTGGCGTCGACAGAACTTTCTATTCCAGCGAAACCCATCATATGGGGGGGGGGAGGGGAGGGGGGGGAGTGGGTTGCCGGTAGCCACGGTTGATCCATTCCAAACCCGATCTTTTTAATTTTCACACAAATATAGGGTAGAGGGGGCTTAAATTTGACAATGCCATGGTGGGCTCAGTCAAATAAATTAAGACTGGACAAATGTTAGACCTATTCTGTAAGCGCCCTCATTCCCATCCGCAAGGCTGAAGTGCCATGGGCCAATGTGATGGAGGATGTTGATTGGCGTATCCCCCACATATTTCCCGCACAGTCCACTTGACAGTATCTGCACCCTATTCTTAGCCTGTGAAAATCAGTATTTTGAATAACCATCTCTTATCTGTCTGCAACCTGGGTGCATGCAGGACAAAGGCATTGTGGGAGAGTCCGTGCAGCCGGGCACAGCTGGGGAAGGTGTTACTGTCACCCCATGGCACCACCAGCCCCTCATCTGCTAGATCCTCTGCCATCAAGATAAGAGATGATATAAAGCAAGAAAGGAGGTGGCGGCGGGCGTTCCCACTCCCGAACCTTCTTCGCTCGGCGCGGGCCCAACCACTGCTCATCGTCGCCACCACCCACGGATCCTCCCACAACCTCATCCTCGGACACCCCCAACTCCCTCCCCCAGTCCCACTCCCACTCCCACTTCCTGAAACTCATTGGCCCTCCGGATCATGTCGTTGGTCCAACATGTCTCGTCCATCGAGGGTGTCGACCGCGAACCCGATCCCCTGGAGGATAGCCTCATCATCACCGCCATTCCGGCCGATTTCGCCCCCATCCACCGCAAGATCAGCTACGATGTCCTGCAGCCGCAGGCCGTGCCGGATGAGACTGCGAAAACCCCAGCCTACAAGGTGCCGACTGTGAAGCGAGTGGGTATGTACTGCCGATCCTACCGTTGCAACGCGCCACGCTAACTCCCCCAGCCCAGGTCGTCGTCACCATCCTCGCGTGCTGGTTCGCGTCCGGCATCGTGTTCGGCTTCGCCGCTCTTAAACCCGTGCTGGTCGCAGAGGGGATCTATCGCGAGTGGTGCACCGACGAGGAACTGCGCGACGGGGTCGAACTCTGCGCGAAGCAGGATCTTCAGTGAGACCTCCCCTCCTCCTCCTCCTCTGTGACGCATCCCGGCTAACCTCCCAGGTTGAACTTCTTCTTCACCATCAGCTCCATCACCGCCAACGTCTCCGCCCTCCCGGTCGGCACCATCCTCGATCGCTATGGCTCGCGCGTCTGCGGCTTCGTAGGGTGTCTGCTGCTGGCGACTGGCAGTTTGCTCATGGCATACTCGTTTTCACACCCCCCGTTCCATGGCTTTCTCGTCGGGAACGTCTTCCTGGCTCTGGGAGGGACCTTTATCTTCGTCCCCTCGTTTCAGATCGCAAACGCCTTCCCCCGATATGCAGGCACCATTGTTGCTCTCGTTACGGGGGCCTTTGACGCGTCTGCAGCGGTCTATCTGTTCTACCGGCTCACCTACGAGGTGACCAACCAGGCATTCGACCCGGAGAAATTCTTCCTGGTCTATCTCATCGTCCCCGTTCTGATATTCGTCGCGTTGATCACTCTCATGCCGTCGCAGGATTACCAGAGCACCTACCAACTAGAAGTCAAGGTCGAAAAAGTCGAAGACGCCACCCGCGACGTGCACGACTCCGACGACGAGATCGAAAGCGACTCTGAGCTGCGTCGCATCCGCCGGGAACGCGCCGAGCGCCGTCGGAAGAAGCTGCGCAAGATCAACAAGGTGCTGGGCGATCAGGACGAGCGACAGCAGCGCGAGCAGCGCGAGGAGGACCGTCAGGCTGCCAGCGCCGTCTGGGGGGCGCTGCACGGCCAGCCGGCTCAGGCGCAGATGGCCACCCCGTGGTTCATCCTGATCACCCTGATGACGGTGCTGCAGATGCTGCGGATGAACTACTTCATCGCCACCATCCGGTCGCAGTACGAGTACATGCTGGACTCGGATGCGCTTGCTGAACAGATTAACTACTTCTTTGATGTGGCGTTGCCCATTGGCGGCGTCATCTCCACCCCTTTTATTGGACTGCTTCTTGACCACTTCAGTGTCGCTGTCATCCTCGCCATCATAGTGGTGCTGACCACCGCGACGGGCATTCTGAACTCCATCCCCAGTGTGGGGACCGGCTATGCGACCGTCATCCTTTTCGTTATGCTTCGTCCGCTATATTACTCTGCCATGTCGTACGTCATCCCTCCCTCTCGCACAACCTTCTCTTCCCCATACCCTCTTTTCTTCCTCTCATACCCTCCTTCCTTTCCTCCCCAGATCTTACCCACTAACACTCCCTCCTCATCCAGAGACTACACCACCAAAGTCTTCGGCTTCGCCACCTTCGGCCGCGTCTACGGCACGATCATCTGCTTCTCCGGCCTCGTCAACTTCTCGCAGTACGGCCTCGACGCCCTGACCCATGGGTCCTTCGGGGGCGACCCCATCCCCATCAACATCTTCTTTGCGTGCGCCGGGTGCGTCGTCGGGGCTGTGTTGGTCGGGTTCGTGTACGTCGCTGGCAGGAGGATGCGCGAGCGGGAGCGCGAGATGAGGGAAGATGAGGAGCGGCAGAGGTTGATTTTGGAGGAGGAGGAGGAGGGGTATGCGTGTGGGAATGGGAATGGTTATGGGGGTGGGCGGTATGGGAGTTTTGGGGGTAATAGGGGTGGCGGTGGAGAGGGAGATGGAGATGGAGATGGGGATAGTGAGGAGGAAGAGGGGTATTGATTGATATGATGACATGATATCGATATGATCATTGAGTCGGTTCGGGGGTTTGGGGGGCGTGGGATTTGGGGATTTGGGGATTTTGGGGGGGGTTGCTGTGTAGTTTAGTATAGTGTAGGTGTTATTTCTGTTTGGAGCGTGTAATTATAGCATCTGGTGATATGCGGACGGGGATGGGGCTAGGAATTATATGACAAGGCATGGGATGGGATGGATGGATGGGAGACAGGAAGGGCATTCTACCTGAGTACTACTTATTTTTATAGCGGGAGTCCTAGCGAAGTACCGGCGTCTGGGGTTAGTATTTGCTATAGTATAGTTATGAATATGAATATGATTCATGAGCTATGATGATTCATTTGTATTTAGTATTTAGTATTTAGTATTTAGTATTTAGTATTTAGTATTTAGTATTTAGTATTTAGTATTTAGTATTTAGTATTTATTATTTATTATTTAGAGATTAGTTATCAGCTACAAATTGTCCGTGTTCTTTTTTTTTATTTTTTTTTTTTTTTTTGGAATGGGATAGGAAATGTAGATAGATAGGGTTGGGAATTATGGGTGAGTGATCTGGGCGTCAGGAAATCATGTAGCCTCTTCTCTTACTTTTGGTTGGGGAATATATCTTGCCTCCTCCGTACGTGGGGAGAATTCTGCTCCCCCTCGCAGATAATCGACCCTCCAGACCGATTTCGGTGCAGCTGCGCTCCGCTCACCGACGGGCCACAGCTCAGCTCCGCTCCCGGGAAGGGAAGGGAAGGGAAGCGGAGAAGACGGGGATGGGGTAAATATACTATGGGGTGCACTATTCCCTTTACTAGTTAATACGCCCTGCTCTGCTTTGCTCACCACATATCTACACCATCTGGTAGCCAGGTACGTGCAGAAGGCAGGTCACATCAGTCAGACATCTAGCTGGCTGTAAACAGTCAATCTCGATCCTCGTGGGAATCGAAAAAAGAAATCTCCGAACTGCCCGATTTTCCCGCGGGAAACACCGCTTATCGGGGCTTATCGGGGCCGCGGGGCTCACCGCCCGGACCGTCTGCCTGATGCGGCCATGTGATTGGCCCGGGGCGTTATCGGACAGGGGGGGTTTCCCGACGCGGTCCGCGGCGTCGCTGATAGTCAGTCAGTTAATCGCCGGCCTCAATCCATCCCTGCCTTTTATCATCACCTCGCCTCTTCTTAATTCTTTTTCTCTTCCTCTTCTCTTCCTCTTCTCTTCTCTTTTCTTTCTTTCTTCATACTTCCTATGAACTGATCCTCTCTCTCCTCTTTTCTTCACCCTCCCCTCCCTCCCCCTCCACAGCTTAGCATGGCTGCATCCTGGTGCGCCCTGCGTGGCACCCGCCAGCTGGCTCTGCGCTCTCGTCTGCGCACGACGCCCTCAATTGCTACTGCTGTTGCGCGCAGAACTCCCCTCCGCGCCCTCCACACCCCTGCCCACCCCCCTCGCGGCCCGTCTACACCAGCTCCCTCGCCGACCATGGCGATCCTCACCCCCGCGACCTCTTCCAGCCCCTCGATACCTTCCCCCGCCGCCACATCGGCCCCTCCCCCGACGCCGCCTCCCAGATGCTGGCCACCCTCGACCCCCCCGTCGCCTCGCTTGACGAGTTCGTCCGGCAGGTGCTTCCGGCCGACATCCTGTCCAAGAAGGACCTGACCGTGGCCGCTCCCCACAGCACGGCCTCCCTTGCCCGGGACAGCGTGCACGGCGGCTTGGGCGAGACGGACATGCTGAAGCTGCTGGACACCTACCGCAAGCAGATCGATGTCTCCGGCAAGACCTACCTCGGCACCGGCTACTATCCCACCATCGTGCCTCCGGTCATCCTCCGCAACATCCTCGAGAACCCCGGCTGGTACACCAGCTACACCCCCTACCAGCCCGAAATCTCCCAGGGCCGTCTGGAATCCCTCCTGAACTTCCAGACCCTGACCGCCGATCTCACCGGCCTGCCCTTCGCCAATGCCTCCGTCCTGGATGAGGCCACCGCCGCCGCAGAGGCCATGACCATGTCGCTGGCCACCCTGCCCATGTCCAAGCAGAAGAAGGCCGGCAAGGCCTACGTCGTGTCCCACCTCTGCCACCCCCAGACTATCGCCGTGATGCAGTCCCGCGCCGAGGGATTCGGGATCAACCTGGTCGTCGGTGACATCCTCGCTGACGACTTCAAGCTGGTCAAGGACCAGGGTGACAAGCTGATTGGTGTCCTGGCCCAGTACCCCGACACCGAGGGTGGTATCTACGACTTCCAGTCGCTGAGCAACACCATCCACGGCTCCGGCGGTACCTTCAGCGTGGCCACGGACCTGCTGGCGCTGACCCTGCTCAAGGCCCCGGGCGAGTTCGGCGCCGACATCGCCTTCGGCAGCGCTCAGCGTTTCGGTGTCCCCATGGGATACGGTGGTCCCCACGCCGCCTTCTTCGCCTGTGCTGACAAGTACAAGCGCAAGGTCCCCGGCCGTGTCGTCGGTGTGTCCAAGGACCGTCTCGGCAACCGCGCCCTGCGACTGGCGCTGCAGACCCGCGAGCAGCACATCCGCCGTGAGAAGGCCACCAGCAACATCTGCACGGCCCAGGCCCTGCTGGCCAACATGAGCGCCATGTATGCGGTCTACCACGGCCCCACCGGGCTGAAGGGCATCGCTCAGCGCATCATGTCGATGACGACCACCCTGCAGACCAAGCTGGCCGCGCTGGGCTACAACGTGCCCGTCCGCACGAACACCACCGACGGCGGCGCCGTGTTCGACACGGTGACCGTGGAGCTGCCGGGCAGCAGGGACACCGATGCCATCGTGGCGGCGGCCCGCGCGCAGGGCCTCTTCCTCCGCCGGCTGAGCGACACCAAGATCGGCATCTCTCTGGATGAGACCGTCGGCCGCGAGGAGGTCAAGTCTATCCTGCAGGTCTTCGCGACCTACGCCTCCAAGGGCGAGGTCACGCTGGAGGACATCGGCGTCACGCCCATCCCGGCCAGCCTGGAGCGCACGTCCGAGTACCTGACCCACCCGGTCTTCAACACCCACCACTCGGAGACGGAGATGCTGCGGTACATCCACCACCTGGAGTCCAAGGATCTGTCCCTGGCGCACTCGATGATCCCCCTGGGCTCGTGCACGATGAAGCTCAACGCCACCACCGAGATGATCCCGGTCTCGTGGCCCGAGTTCTCCAACATGCACCCCTTCCTGCCGGCCGACGTCGCCAAGGGCTACACCCAGATGATCGACGACCTGGAGCAGCAGCTGGCCGACATCACCGGCATGGCCGAGGTCACCGTGCAGCCCAACTCGGGCGCGCAGGGTGAGTTCGCCGGACTGCGCGTGATCAAGAAGTACCAGGAGGCGCACGGCGGCGACAAGCGCAACATCTGCCTGATCCCGGTGTCGGCGCACGGCACCAACCCGGCCAGCGCGGCCATGGCGGGCATGCGCGTGGTCACGATCAAGTGCGACACCAAGACCGGCAACCTGGACCTGGAGGACCTCAAGGCCAAGTGCGAGAAGCACGCGGACGAGCTGGCGGCCGTGATGATCACCTACCCGAGCACGTTCGGCGTGTACGAGCCGGGCATCAAGCAGGCGTGCGAGATCGTGCACCAGCACGGCGGGCAGGTCTACATGGACGGGGCCAACATGAACGCGCAGATCGGGCTGTGCTCTCCGGGCGAGATCGGGGCGGACGTGTGCCACCTGAACCTGCACAAGACGTTCTGCATCCCGCACGGCGGCGGCGGGCCGGGCGTCGGCCCCATCGGCGTGGCGGAGCACCTGCGGGCCTTCCTCCCGTCGCACCCGGGCAGCAGCTACCTGCAGGCCCGGCGCGGCGACTCCTCCTCGCCCCCGATCTCCGCCGCCCCCTGGGGCAGCGCCAGCATCCTGCCCATCACCTTCAACTACATCAACATGATGGGCGCCAAGGGCCTGACCCACGCCACCAAGATCACCCTCCTCAACGCCAACTACATCCTGTCCCGTCTGCGGCCGCACTACCCCATCCTGTACACCAACGAGAACGGCCGCTGCGCGCACGAGTTCATCCTCGACGTGCGCCAGTTCAAGGACACCTGCGGCGTCGAGGCCATCGACATCGCCAAGCGTCTGCAGGACTACGGCTTCCACGCACCGACCATGTCGTGGCCGGTGTCGAACACGCTGATGATCGAGCCGACCGAGTCGGAGAGCAAGGCCGAGCTGGACCGGTTCTGTGACGCCCTGATTTCGATCCGTGGCGAGATCGCCCAGGTCGAGGAGGGCAAGCAGCCCCGCGACGGCAACGTGCTGAAGATGTCCCCGCACACCCAGCGCGATCTGTTGGCGACCGAGTGGACCCGCCCGTACACGCGCGAGCAGGCCGCGTATCCGCTGCCGTATCTCATCGAGAAGAAGTTCTGGCCGTCCGTGACGCGCGTGGATGATGGTAAGCCTTCACTTTTTTTTTTTTTTCACACCCTTGCTTCTTGATCAATCCTCTTCCCCTCAAAACGATTATGAAAATCAAGCTAATAATAACCAGCCTACGGCGACCAAAACCTCTTCTGCACCTGCGGCCCCGTCGAGGACACCGAGTAGATACTACCTGGTAGTTTGTCTCTGGATAGAGGGATGTGGTGGATAGATGGGATGGACGGTCGGCTATGATGATACCCTGTATGATTCAACATTGGATGGCTGCTGTTCGTTCAACATGCATTGCGAGGAGTTTTTCTTTTTCCCTTCCTTTCTGGGTGGTTCTGGTTAGATTTTACTTTACTTTACCTTTTACATTAGATCTGTTTCAACCTAGATCAATCCATACCTTTTTACATTTTATATTTGGTGAATTTGAATAGGAATGAGAGGTAGATTGTATTTTTGATTGTAGATGGGACACATACCTAGCTAATCTAACATAGGTAGGGAGGTAGTAGGCCGGGTAAAATAAGAGAGGTCATCTCAGTTTTACGGTACTCCCAGTCCGTTGTCTGGAATAGTTAGTGTACATACACCAGTGTTAGTAATCCTCATAAAGAATTCAAATTATCCTATTGATCGGAACCCGCCGCCCGGAACCCCTCGGCGGCCCGGCCTCCCGACTCGTCATTGGTCGAGCGCGCGGAGACGGCGCGGAGTTCGCCCGTCTCCAGCCAGTCAGCCAGTCCAGACCAAGTGACGTCTTATAATCTTATAAGTTGGCCTGCCTGCCTGCCGCCGCTGTTACATTGGGTTTGCTCTGGGTTTGCTGGATTTCGCTCTTCTTTTCTTTCTCCTCTCACTGTATTACTTTCGCTCTGAGCAGACATCCGGAGTAGGTTTCTTGCGGGTTGGTTGTGCTGGTGGTGTAACTAACTGGTAAGTGGACGTCGTTCTCTATAATATTATTTATTATATGAGTGATTCTAATTTATTGCAGCTCCCCATACGACTTTTCCACGGGGACGTGTGTCAATTGCGCCTTGTCTTTCACTTGGATTTGTTTCCTTCTGTGGTCGCTGTCACTGGGACTTCATTGCTGCTTCGAGATTGCCGCATAGCTTGATTTCGATATCAGTACTACTAGTACTACAGCAAGAATCGATTTATTCCTCTGGAGGGGATAGAGAGATTTCCACGCAATCCTGGTATTTTTTTTTTTTAGCTGCAGCATCACTCGACAGGTCACTTCCATCGATCTCCGGAGTATCGGAATCCGGTCTCCATTAGTTACTGCATCGGAACACTCTCCACTCCACTCCACTCCACACAACTTATCACACCAGAAAGACGGAGAAAAAAAGAAACCGAGATGTATACCCTCTACATCGGAACATTCATCCACCTCCCCCGTCTCCCTGCGGACGCCGACCTCGACGCCGACCACAAACTCTCCATCAACCATGGCGCGCTGTGGGTGTCCGAGGATGGTATCATTGAGGGGTTCGACTGGAGCGTCAAGAGCCCGAAGGATGTGAAGGCGTTTCTGCGGAAGAAGGGGTGGGTGGCAGAGGGCGAGAAGGGGAAGGGCAAGGGACAGGCCACGCAGGTGAAGGTGGTCGTTGCGAGAGAGGATAGGAATGAGTTCTTTTTCCCGGGGTTCGTGGGTATGTTTCTCCCTTGTCCTCATTTCGTCATCTTTCTTTTTGTGTTTATATGGGTTTATGTACCACCTCCCGACCTGGATCAACCCTCTACCCATCATTATCCCGTCCATCGCTCACCAGACAGACACCCACATCCACGCCCCCCAATACCCCAACACCGGCCTCTTCAGCACCTCGGGCCTGCTCACCTGGCTACAAACCTACACCTTCCCGATGGAATCCTCCTTCGCCTCGCCCAGCTCCCTCCCCACCGTCCCCCCGCCCCAGGCCTACCGCGTCTACAACCAAGTCATCTCGCGCACCCTCTCGCACGGCACCACCACGGCCTCCTACTTCGCGACCATCCACCTCCCCGCCACCAACCTGCTCGCCACGCTCTGCCACGCCCGCGGCCAACGCGCCCTGATCGGCCGCGTCTGCATGGACAACCCCGCCACCTGTCCCGACTACCTCCTCGACGAGCCCGACTCCGTCGTCCCCATCACGGAAGCCTCCATCGCACATATCCGCCGGCTCGACCCGGAGGGACAACTCATCAACCCCGTCATCACGCCCCGTTTCGCCCCGAGCTGCACACACGCCTCTCTCGCCTCTCTCAGCGAACTCGCCGCGTCGGCAACGCCCCCACTCCACATCCAGACCCACCTCGCCGAGAACCTCGACGAATTGGCCCTGGTCCATGACCTCTTCCCCCGCGCGCGAGATTACACCTCCGTGTATGATCATTTCGGCCTCCTCACACCGAAGACCATCCTCGCGCACGCGGTCCATCTCTCCGACGCGGAGAGGGAGATGATCAGAGACCGCAAGGCGAAGATCTCGCATTGTCCGGCGAGTAACTCGGCCCTTGGCTCGGGGATTTGTCCTGTGCGGAGAACGCTCCGCGCCGGTATCCCCGTCGGGTTGGGGACGGATGTGAGTGGTGGGTATGCGGTTAGTATGCTGGAGGCTGTGAGGCAGGCGTGTTTGGTTTCGAGGCTGTTGCCGCATGCTTCGCCCACTACCACCACCGAGGAAAAACAGAAAAATCAAGATATCATCGACGTGAATCAGGCATTATACCTCTCCACGCGCGGCTCCGCGGCCGTGCTCAACATGGCCGGCCAGATCGGGGGCTTTGACGCCGGCATGTCGTGGGACGCGCAGCTCATCCGGCTCGGGGCTTACCGGTCGGTTGTCTCGGGGAAGGGCGTGGCGGAATCGAATGTGGATGTCTTTGGGATGGAGAGCTGGGAGGAGAAGGTCCAGAAGTGGGTGTGGAGTGGCGATGATCGGAATGTGAGGGCTGTTTGGGTGGGGGGGAGGTTGGTTCATGAGGTTAGGGATCCTGGGGAGGGGAATGGGTGGTTTGGAATTGGGGTTGGGTGATTGGGGTGGTGGGGTGATTGGGTTTGGGGGGTGGGTTTTGAGGAGGAGGGTGTGAGTATTATTCTTCTTTTTGGTGGTGGTGGTGGTGTTGGATGGGATGGGGATAAAGGGGTGGATATTACTATTAAATTAGATTTGAGTGGGTGGATGGTTAGATTTTACTTGGACTGGTGATTTATGTATAGTATAGATAATATATGACATGGGGTCATGCCCCCCAGTAATAATATTACAGTATATTTACTTAAGATATTAGATGAAATGCTATCCTATTACATGGTAGAGGTCAGTTATGTACATGGGGGGTTCGGGGGGTTTTCCCCGGGTATGCTACACTGTAACTATCCCTGTTCCCAGCCAATCTGTGCCACAGACAGTCTCACAACTATATGAATTAGCTCCTAGACATGAGGTTCGGACGGAATTAAAATCCTGTAGATTACTGACTGTCAAAACTATTGGTTTCGACAGCAAGCGCTCGATTTGAAACCCGCCCAGATCAGTGTCAAACAAGACTAACAGTGACTGTCCTTTACCTCGGTGGACTGGATGCTCCTTCGAGTCTAGTCCATCCACCCACCCTTTCGTCATGCAAAAAGTCCAGGATTAGCAATCCGACCCCTCCGAGCAAACCTTGCGAGATCAACCTGCGGGGGTTAAATCGAAGCCAATGCGAGACAAGGGATGGGCGATGATGCAGCCGTGCAGCCGCGCGAGGCGGGCCAGCCGTTGGGTGGAGCCCTTGAGCCTTGAGGTCATTGAATCAGGGCTAAAACCAAAGCGGAGATGCTTGCGATGCTCCGTCTCCGGACGCAACTTCCATGGTTCTATTCCTATAGCCATTCACTGCTTTCCCAGGCAGCAGTCGGCTGTCTGCTGTCTGCTGTCGGCCCTTCTCACATGTTGCGACCGAGGATGTACTTCTTCTCCTTTTTACTATATAATTAGTATCCCCCCCACGCTTTCCCTCTCCCTCTTCAGACGCTCAATCCAACATCATGCTCACGATACTCCTCCTGGCCAGTGCCCTCCTGGTCGCCTTTAAGACCTTCCAGTTCCTCCACCAGACCTACCATGATCGCAAGACCGCCAAAGCCCTGGGCTGTCAGCCTCCGCCCGCCATCCCCACCGGCCCCTTGGGCATCCCAGGCTTCCTGCGCATGCTGACCGCCGTCAAGGAGAAGCGCTGGGTCGAGTACATCTCGCAGTTCTACGAGACCTTCGGCCACACCTTCACGCAGGTCTCCATCGGCGGCGTCGAGATGTACGGCACGGCCGAGCCCGAGAACATCAAAGCCCTGCTGGCCACCCAGTTCCAGGACTTTGGGCTCGGCAGCAGACACCGCGAGTTTTTCCCGCTGCTGGGTAACGGCATCTTCACCCTGGACGGCGCCGGCTGGACGCATGCACGAGGCCTGCTTCGCCCGCAGTTCACCCGCGATCAGGTTCGTCGCCCTTTCTTTTCCTCTGGACGCCTCGCGCAAGCTGACATCCCATCGCAGGTGGCCGACCTGGACCTCATGGACGGCCACGTCGCGCGCATGATCGACCTGATCCCCCAAGACGGCTCCTCGTTCGACATCCAGCGGCTCTTCTTCCTGCTCACCATCGACTCGGCCACGCACTTCCTGTTCGGCGAGTCCGTCGGCTCCATGGGCTCCTCCGACGCCAGCATCCTCGAGAAGACCGCCGTGGGCGACGCTCAGGGCTTCGCCGACGCCTTCAACACCGCCCAGGAATACCTGGCCGCCCGCTCCCGCGCCCTCGGCTTCTACTGGCTCATCAACCCCAAGGAGTTCCGCGAGGCCAACCGCCGCGTCCACGAGGTCGTCGATCACTACGTCCGTCGGGCCCTCGAGTCGAAGCGCCACCCCGAGAAGCAGTCGGGCAGGTACATCTTCGCCGAGGCCCTGGCGGCCGACAACGACGACCCCCGCGTGCTGCGCGACAACATGCTCAATATCCTGCTCGCCGGCCGTGACACCACCGCCAGTCTGCTCAGCTCGTCGTTCTTCTATCTGGCCCGTCATCCCGCCGTGTGGACCAAGCTCCGTCGGGCTGTCGTCGGCGAGTTTGGCGATGCCACCCATCCGATTGGAGATATCACCCACGCGAGACTCAAGGATCTGCGCGATCTGCGCCACTTCCTGAACGAGGGTACGTCTTCTCTCTCTCTCTCTCTCGCTCCCTCTCTCTCTCTTCTCTGGTCTGGCATGTACCTGTCATTAATATCCAACAGTCCTCCGCCTCCAACCCCCCGTCCCCCTCAACTTCCGCGTCGCCCAAAAGGACACCTCCCTGCCGGTCGGGGGCGGTCCCGACGGCAAGTCGCCCGTCTATGTCCGCAAGGGCCAGCTCGTCACGTACAGCGTGTACGCCATGCACCGCCGCACGGACTTCTACGGGCCTGATGCGCACGAGTTCCGCCCCGAGCGCTGGGAGGAGAACAGCAAGCGCGGCTGGGAGTATCTGCCTTTTAACGGCGGGCCGCGTATTTGTCTTGGTCGTGAGTGTCTTTTTTTTTTTCTTTTTCTGTTCATTCCGCCCTACTCTTCTGGACAGTCCTCTCTTGGACAGTCCTCTTCTGGACAATCCTCTTCTGGACAGTCCTCTTCTGGACAACCCTCTTCTGGACAATCCTCTTCTGGACAATCCTCTGTAATTGAATTGAGTATACTGATGAGGTACAGAACAATATGCCCTCACCGAAGCCAGCTTCACCCTCGTCAAGCTCCTGCAGCGCTTCGACCGCCTCGAGAACGCGGGCCCCGCCAGCGATCGTCCCGTCATTCAGTGTACCCTGACCATGTCGCATGATGCGGGCGTGCCTGTGAGGTTGTTTTCATCGGTGTAGCAGAGGAGTCAGTGGGAGTGAATGACTCACAACATAACTTACATGGCATAACATAACTAACTTGGGCTGGTCTTTACATGATGTTTTGTGTGTGTGTGTGTGTGTGTGTGTGTGTGTGTGTAATTATTATTATTCAGGTATATAGTATTAGTTCGGATCGGGATGGATGAATAATGACCGTGTTTCTGTTGTAGCATGTTGCTAAGTAAGGGCTTAGGAGGGAGTAATTACTCCGTACTTACTAGATGGGACTATATTTTATGGGTGGAATGGATGGGAATATATCAGAGTCGAATAACCTTTTCTGTTAATTAGGTTAGAACGAACCCCTTCTGTCATATTTTATATAAACAACCTCTTTATTCAGAAAAACCACTCACTCATCTGTATCCTGTCCCATTCCATCATATTACTATAACCATCCTAGACTCTCAGACAGACTTGGAAGGGAGGGAGGATGGGATGGGGATAGTAAAGACACCAGCCACATCCACACCCACACCCACACCACTGTAGTACGCTCAAGCCACATCTGTGGCTGACAATTATCCCTAATTAGTTAGTTAGTTAGTTAGTTAGTTATCCCTGACTAACTCCTGACTCAGCACCCCGTCCAATCCCGTCCCTCCTCTCCTCTCTCCTCCCCTCCGCTCCGCATCATCGATCTCTCTCTCTCGTCCATGTTTGGTTTGCTTTGCTTGATTTGTCTAGTCTACACGAATCTCTCTCCACGTTAATACAAGTCAACCCAGTCAATTTAATTCACTTTCTCTTTCGCATCGCATCGCATTGCCTCCTCCTTCCTTCCTTCCTTACTCACTCACTCACTCATCTATTCTATCCCCGTGCGGGTAGTTATACATCTCACGGACTGGACAGGACAGGACCGGTCAGGATCTGGAATCAATCACTCTCCTACGCTACGCAACGCATCGCTACATTCGCCTCTGAGGGTATTCAGATACCTCGGATCGGGATTCGAATTGGACGTGGGATTGGACTTGGGGTAGAAGAAGAAGAAGAAGAGAGTCAGACAGATGGCAACAATCCCCCACGGCCGTATCCCCGTCGTCGTGCCGGAGATGGTCACCACCACGAATATAAGCACAAATACAACTGCTGCTGCTGCTGCTGCTGCTGCTTCAGGCTTGGGTTCAGGTTCTGGCTTGGGTTCGGGTTCAGGCTCAGCACCAAATATGGACACCACCGCGGACCCGTGGGACTCGGAACACCAGCTCATTTCCTCGCTGGCGAAGCTGCAGGAGATGGAGGCTACGGTATTTTTCTCTCCTCTTTCTTTCCCTTCTTCTTTTACTACTCCCACTTTCACTGACTCAGACTCACTGTCACTCCCATTTCCATTCCAACCTACAACCTACCAAACTAACACTCTTACAATAGATCCACACCCTCCGCACCCTCCTCCCAGACCGTCTCCTGCAGCCTCTCGCGCCGATAATCCACCAGCACCATAACCACAACCACAACCACAACCATAACCACAACCGCACCCCCTCAACAACACCCACCCTCCCAGCCCTACCACAACCACCACCACCACAGCCCCCCAACAACAACAACAACCACAACAACAACACACCCACCCCACCCATCCACAACCGCACTCCCAGTCTCAGGGGCAGGAGTCTCAGGACCAGGAAGCTCAGGACCCATCCCCGCAACCCCCCAAATCCTCTACGCCCAACTATCCGCGACGACCCGCGCCGGTGTCGCCGAAGTAAAAGCCTTCCAGGACCGGTGGCGCGGGCCGGAGCTCGCGGCGGTATGGGAGCACGTGAATCGGCGCATTGCGGAGAATGAGGGCGTGTTGGTGCAGACCACGGGCGTTTGGGAGAGGGATTATCGGGCTTTGGTGCCGGATGGGCAGATGCGGGGGGTGGGTTGGATGGAGGTGGGGGTGTGGGTGTGGATGGGAGGGGGAGTAAGGGGCAGGGGCAGGGCAGTGGGGAGGGGAAGGGGGAGGGGTAAGGATGGGGAGGGGAGGGGAGGCGGAGGGGAAGGGGTGGAGGGGGATTGTGGATGAGTTTTTGAAGAGGGGGAGGGAGGGCGTGAGGGTTAGGATTATTGATGGTAAAGATGGGAATGGAGAAGCAGTCGTGGTGAGATTAGTCAAGGCCGGGTTGGGAGTCAGGGTTTCTCTTTCTCTTTCTCCGGGGATCTCTACATCCAGTGCTCCATCCGCCTCGACCTCCACCTCTACAACTAATGGTTTTGGATCTGCATCTGCATCTGCATTTGGATTCGATGGCGACGGAACCATCGGGAACGGGAATATCGACACCCACACCGACACAACCACAACCACAACCACCGACATCGAATGGCGGGTCGAAAGACTCGAAACCAGAGGCCTCCCCGAGACGAAACTCGATGCCGCCGTCCTGAGATCGCTGAATCAGCGGGAGAGGAAGTGGGATTTGGCATTTTTGTTGGTGAGTTCTCCTGGCCCTGGGCTTATCCTCCAGGCCTTGTTCCTTCTTCTCCACCCCTTTTGCTCCAACTCTTATCCTTTCATCATCCTCTCATCATCCTCTCTGGATATACATATATATGGTTGCGGGGATATACATTCCATATACATCATTGCTGTGTTGTGAATGTATCAACCGGGTGATGATTGTGTTGTGATTGTGATACTGATACTGATACTGATAATAATAATAATACTAACAATGAAAAAACAGGAAATGATCTCCTCCTACGCCAACATCAAAACCACCCCGTGCGTGAAGTGCGGGAAGATGATGGATTCCGCGGCGAGTTTGCCTACTGTGAGGAGGGTGAGGGAGGGTGATGAGCCGGGTGGACTGCAGAGTGGACTGCAAGAGATGGGGACAGGGTCGGGGACAGGGTCGGAGCTGGCTTGGGAGGCGGTTCATGGGGGGTGTGTTTAGATTAGTTTATGATTTTCTAATTTCTATTCTACTTTCTACTTTCTACTCTGATATAGTATACTCTAACTTAATTAGGTGGAATGAGTGACTGAGTGACTGAGTGGTTGGAGTAGAGTGAAGTGGGTAATTGGAGTCAATGAAGTACTAGATATGTGAAGAGAATGAATACATACTAGGGAGATAAAAAATATATACAGGATAGGATAGGATAGGATCATAGGATAAGATATTACAGAATAGGATAACATAAAACCGGATAAGATAGAACAGAACATAACAAGACAGAACATTGCAGAACAGAAAAAAAAATAAAATAAAATAAAACAAAACAACAAGAAAACAAATCCATAACATAACACAACTTAAGTATACCCTGTCATCTACTATCTCTCATCTATCGCTCATCTTATCTACTAGTACCACTGACAAAAACCCCATCATCCCAGATCCATAGACCATGCATGCTTAACCTCCACCATCATGATGAATCAGGATAAATCAGTCATGATATGATACATATTTGAATTACTACCCTGCTATATAAGATAAGCAGCGCATTCTTAGATAACTACCTAACCTACAGCATTCAATAGTTATATCTATCTTATCTGAAACAGTCCATTTTTAGCTAAATAGGCAGTATATTATCCCACATTAACACTACCTCATCCCTCATCTCTCTCATCCAGTAGTATCCTTCATCCAGTATTCCCGCTCTTAATATAAGATAGACAGACAGACAGACAGATACAGAATCCAGCCATGACATAATGAAGAACCAATCCAGAGTAGACAGGATATCCCGACGCATAGCATACATAACTTAACAAGTACTATCACACTGTCACTATCATAACCACTACCACTACCACACCCCCTCAAAAAGCGAGCATAACTAAATGTCAATGTAAATGGAATGTCAATGTCAATGAAAGTGAAAATAAGAATAAAATAAAATAAATAAAATAGTAAATACCCATCATTATCGCAATACAAAATCAAATCAACGCCAATAGATTTGCTCATGATTAAACGAAACATGACAAAAAAACGAATATCGCTCAGCTTAATGCAACATTCTATGCATGATAACAAGTGGACCAGAATAGACTAGAGTAGACTAGATCAGACTAGACTAGACAGATTACGTGGCAAACACCCCAAAGTCGCCGGCGAACCAGGTGAACGAGGCGATGGTGATGGCCATCATGCCAAAGGCGAATTTGAGGCCTAGCCGCTCGATTTCGGAGAGGGCGAAGCTGCAGGTGGCGCAGATGAAGCCTACACACATATATTAGATGGGTCGTGTGTATTCAAGGGGAGCAAGGAAGACGTACCATTGAGCGGGGTGTACGGCTGCGGGACATACATGGCGAACGAGTGACTCGCAGCCGCGAGATGGCCCGCACTCGCCGTCGCGGAGATGCCCTTGGCCGCGTCCCAGATGATCAGGGTGTACGAGGCGGTCAGCAGCGGGACCGTGGCGTTGGCCTGGTACTTCTTCGTATCCCAGACGACCTTGCCGGTGGGCGAGACGCTCATGTTGCTGGAGATGGTGTAGGTGTGGCTGTTCAGACTGCACGACGCCACGACGTTGACCCCCGACGGCGTCACCGACAGCGACGTGTAGTTCCATTCGAACGTCACGTAGTTGCCGATCTTGTAGTATGTCGTCGAGTACTCGTTCGGGTCCAGCATCGAGATCCCGCCCGTGCCGGTGTAGGTCGTGTTGGAGGTCCCGGTTGAGCCGCTGGTGCTGGTTGTCTGGCCGGTCGTGCTGCTCTTGGTCGTCGTGCCGGTGCCGGTGCCGGTGCCGGTCGAGTCGGTGGCGGACGCGGTGTCGGTCTTGGAGTCGGTCTTCGACGCTGTCGCGGCGGTTGTTGCGGCCGCGCCCGTCGTGGCACTCTCTGCTGCGGTGGTGGTGGTGTCTTTCTCTGTTAGTTGGGTTTGTTGAGAGGGGATGGGTGAGACGAACCCGCCCGCCGCAGCACTTCACCGTGAGGCTGCCATGGTGTCGCTGTGGTCACTGTGCCCAGGAGAACCAGCAGACACAGGACGAAGAGTCGGGGGATGTAACGCATGATGATGGTGGTGGTGTGTGTGTGTGTGTGTAGCAGAGGGGCGAGGGACTCGACTCCTTGGCGAAATTCAGGGTCCGATCGACGTGGACCCTTGCCGGATCACTGAGCGAGTGTTGTAACGGACTGGAAAGGATGAAAGACGGATTCAAGCGATGTCAAAAGGTGACAGCTAGTAGCGAGATTCTGCCGAAGTCGATGCGAGCGAGCTGCACAGGGAGGTGTTTTTCAGGCCACCGGGACTGAAACATGCAGATCGTCTGATATTCTCGGCAGGGTCCAGGAGGGAGGGTCGCGGGTAAACAAAGCGAGCGACCGAGCGAGCGACTGTCCCCAAAACACGGCGGGTGCGAGAGGGGGGGAGGGGGGGATGGAAGCGACCGACGGAGCGAGGGAATCAGATGTCGAGAGAATTCACACAGCAGGTTGTCTGGATGAGACGGCGTGGGACGAGGGAAGACTAAGGGTGGTGGTGGTGCTTTGGTGCTTTGGTGCTTTGGTGCTGGTCCCTCCTGGGGAGGCGATCCAGCCGGCCGCTCTAGCCCGATTGGGCCGCGCTGTGAGACATCGCGATACTATTTTTGGCAGGCGGCTGGCGGCCTGAGGCACACCTGTCCCGGGGATGAGGCTTCTTCCGCTGTTTCGTGTATGGGGTGGTCTGTCCGGATATTGGGATTCTTGACTCGTTCGTATATTTATTATCTAGATGGTAGGACGATAGTTGGATAGGCTACACTCTGTGCTGGAAAATGAATCTCCCAGTTTGCGAAACGCGGGCTAGCTCCGACAGCCACTATTGCCAATAATTGGCCAGATACAGAACCCGAACCAGAAAAAAAGCCAAACGAGTCAGTCATCATACATCGCCAGTATTGAGTATTTCTCTACCAACGTCTGCTTATGAACATGCATGCCATAGATGACATAGATACTGCGCCATAAATATTGTACCATAAACAATGCCACATACAGTGCCATAAACATTGTGCCAGAACTGTGCCAAATAGTGCCAAATATGTTGTCATAAACAGTGTTACATACGATGCCAAAAGTCTGCCATAATACTGTGCAAATATCGTGCCATGCGCCATAGCCATCGAACCAAACCCATCAATCATTAAAATATTAGCATTAACCGTTGCCGTCAATGTACGATACTGATACTGATACAGTGCCGGCGGGAGCAGCGTGACCTCCCGCCTGTCATATGAATCATCACTCACGCCACGCGCGTCATGAACCCCCAAGTGGCGAGGGGTCTCGTTTAGGAAGTGTAGTCGAACTGTCAGGTCGCTCGTTTAGGAAACATACTCGGCTGTCAGGTCGACCTGGCTGCACGAGGAGGGGATCGTGGGCTGGGTGTATCTGTAGATGTAGAACAGCTGGGGGGCGTTGTGGTACCAGTCACAGACTGTTCGGTGTTAGTTTCTCTTTTGATGTCTTTTTCAAAGTTCGTTGGAAAGATAGATCGGAGTTGATCGCAATGGATACATAGTTCACTCACCCAGCCAGCCCCCGAAGCCAGACGCAGCCGACCACTCGAAGTCGGTGCCATTGACCGAGAAACCCCCACTGCCGTACCCCGTGTTAATCTGGACGGACTCCCACGCTGCGACGAAGTTAGTCGGAGGCCAATCTGTGGCGAGAAAGGGGCAAAGTCTAACCGCCGTAGTTGTTCTGGACCGATGGCTTGAGGCCCCAGGGGAAGGGCGTGCCAAGGTCGAACTGGGTATTCGTGCCGTTCAGGAACGCCGGGCTGGCGGTTCCCACGTCCGACGTGAGCACGGCGTCGTTGAACCCGGCCCCCGTGTGGTAGGCGTACACGTAGAGGTTGTTGTGGTCGTCGTTCGAGGCGCCCGACGTCTTCAGGTGGAATGTCGAGCTGGAGCTGTCCTGGCGAGAGGCGAGGGGGCTGGCAGCCACCGCGGAGGCGAGCAGAGCGAGGGAGGCGAGGAACTTCATTGCGAGGTTGGAGGGATTGTTTGGAAGAAAGAAAGAAAGGAAGGAGGAGAAGAAAGCAGGCAGGTCTGCGAGGAGTCGCGGACGGGAAGAGTGAATGTGGACTGTTTATTGCTGGTGGTTGAGCGATTGAGCGATTGAGCGTGGAATGATGGCTGGAAGCGACGGGGATGCCTTGCGTCTTTATATTGCAGCTGGCGCTGCAGCGGCCACGATCACCCCGGTTGTGGGTGTGGGTGTGGGGTGGGGGCCAAGACTCCTCCAGACGATGGCGGCTGATCGCAGCGATCAGAGCAAACTGCGACCCGACAAAGTCAAACTTTGAGTGAAATACGGAGAGCAACCACAGCACCGCCCAGCCAACCCGCGGGAATCACCGTCGCGGGGGAGGTGGTTGGTGGTTGAGACTCACAGCACATATTACTAAAGAACAAACTATGGCCCACGCGGTGGGGCTCACCGCCTCGGACTCCCCGGCCCTGCCCTCCCGATTGGCTCGCCCTCACCGACCGCCTCGGCCGGACCACTCATCGCGGGCGGCGAATTCGGCAGAACGGCGTCGCCGGGGGTTGATTGGCGTGCCGGGGAATGAGGGCGGGGAGAAGGAGGAATGCTGTCAGCCTGAGACATCTGCAGTGCAGTGCATGTTCCTCCCTCATCTTCTCCTTTCTCCTTTCTCACTTCTCACTTCTCACTTTTTCTTCTCCCGTGGAGTCAACTCAACTCGGATAAGATCACTCCTGCTAGGTGCTGACTGCTGACTGCTGACCGGTATTCTATTTTTGTTGTCCAACACCCAAAACTCAGCAGTCGATCCCAATGTCGGTCCCTCGGCTCTACACCCGTGCCGAGCAAGCCATGTACCTATGTCACAGGATGATGGATGAGATGCCATCACCACTCCTGTCTCCTCCATAGTGTCTGGGGATTGCGATTGACATTGACATTGCATGGGCATTGGGATTAGGATTGGGATTGTCCGCCAAGCACCGAGGCACCGACATAGATAGACAACATAGTATCATCGTCATCTGAGCCTCCCCCAGTCCCCACTGCCCCAACCCAGATGTGGATGTTCAGGGGATCTTGTATTTGTAAGTTAACTTGTCTGGGGTTGGTTGCGGGTTGATTGCTATTACTATGTATAGATAGATGTGGGTGCGATCTTAATCTTAGGTGGTGTTTCAGGTCAATATGGATGATGGTTGGGAGAATGTTTATCTCTACTATTTACTGTGATCAGAGCTGTTGGGTGATTAATGTTGTGCAGTGTAACTATGGTGTGGTGTGTTTTTTACGTAGTACTGTAGTACTTTTTTGTACTCTGCTCAATGCTCAGACAATGACAATGTCACTGTCTTGTCCGTCTGCAGCGACTTACATCATGATCGTCAGGCCCATTTGGGCCTCCCCTTTGGGTTTCTGGGTCGAACCGTCTTACATCACACATCACACAAAGACTTCTAATCTCATTACGATTGCGACCACGGAAGCGATTTCCCAGCGGATGTACTTAGACAGTCAGGCAGTCAGTCAGGATAGCGATCTGCTAAATCAACGTCATCCCCCGCACTCATTTCTATCGTATCGTACATCAGTATCAGGAAACAGGTTCAGCATAAATAATATTACATATATCCCACCCCGCGCCGCAAACCATGGGTGTCCCATCCCTTGCCGATAGCCGACTCCAAGCAGATATGCGCCGCGCCGTCCATGGTTTCTTCTATAACGCGATGCTGATTACGGACCCGGTCCGTCAAGGCAGGATGACGCAGTCCAGTCCAACATAAGATTGGGTGGCATCATCTCCGTTTCGCGTATTCCGGCTTCAGCGACCATTTGCCGCGCCCGTTGCGGCCCCCCTTCTCCAGCACCGCGATCGTCTTCAGCATCTCCTTGAACTCGGCCGACCGCTGCGGCGTGTCGCAGTACCGGTTGAAGTGGTCGATCAGCATCTGCGTGAACACGGCCCCGCCCTGCGCCGTGATGAAGTCCCGGATCATCGTGATGAAGTCCACCCCGCTGGTGCGCGGGGCGGGACTGTTGCTGTTGCTCCGCGACGGGGTGCGTGCGGACAGGTTGGCCAGGATGCTGGCGGAGGATGGCCCCGCCACTGCTCGTCTGGCGCCGGCGCTGCTCCCCCCGAATGCGGACCGCGGGGGCTCCTCGGGCTTCCCGGCCAGCCCAAACTGCCCCGTCCAGGTGGGAGTGCCGATGGGGACGGAGCGCGCTGCCTCGCCCGCCCGCCGCAGCTCCTCCGCTGCCTCCGCGGCCACCCGCCTGGCCTCGGCCTCGATGATCTTGGGGTCCGCTCGCACGACTCGCTTGCCGTTCACGATCTGGTCATGCTCCAGCGCGGAGTGCACTCCCGATCGGGCGAAGATGCCCTCCATGATGCGCGACTCGGAGTTGGTTCCCGTCCCCTTCTCTTGGTCACTCGGCTGCTCTTCGCCTTGGAACTTCTCCATGGACGCCACCCCGACCACCTTGCTGATGTCCCTTTTCTCATCGTGCTGTGAGGGTTGAGGCGGTCGGGTGCCATCGCTGTCCTCGTAGGTGACGTCGGCGTCTTTGAAGATCTTGCTCGTCTCCGTTGGGCCCTGGTTTTCATCCCCCAGAGAGAACAGGTCGTGGAGGTCGCTCAGCTGGAAGGTCTGCCGTTGCTTGGGGTCCCGCAGGATTTTGTTCGTAAGGAATTGTTTGAAGATCTGCCGGTGGTATATCTTTTCCTCGATCGTCCCCGCTGTCATCAGTCGGTAGACGGTGACCTCGCGCTTTTGCCCGAGTCGCCACGCTCGCTCACGCGCCTGCACGTCGGTCGAGGGATTCCAGTCGGGATCGTATATGAGAACTCGGTCCGCCCCGGTCAGGTTTACACCCAGCCCGCCCACCTTGGTGGTGAGTAGAAACACATGCAGAGTGGGATCGTTGTTGAACTCGTCGACCATAGACTGTCGGTGCTGGATGGGCGTGGTTCCGTCCATGCGGCGGTAGTTGAACCCGGAGAGGGAATTCACGAATTTCTCCAGAATGTCCAGCATGATCCGATGCTGGGTAAATAGCAGGGTCTTGTGTCCCGTGTCTTTCCATAGCTCTAACAGCGACTTGACGACCTGCATTTTGCCGGACTTCGAGCCGCTGCCGTAGCCCGCCTTGGACGAGAGCAGCTTGTGGTTTTGTAGATCGGGGTGGTTGCAGATCTTTCGCAGGATATCGACGCCATACAGAACCTGGCGCCGCCCATTGAGGATAGATGTCATCTCTTCCGAGCCCAGGAATGCCTCGTAGGCCTGCCGCTGTTGCTTCGTCAGCTTGCAGAATAGCACCTGTTCGCTCTTTTTCGGCAGGTCCGCTGCGACATCTACCTTGAACCGCTGCAGGAGATATGGGCTGATCGCGTCCTTCAGGGTCTCGGCACACTTGGCCGCTGTCTGGACCTGTAGGTTGGAGGCATTCGCATATCCGCCCTGGCGGATGGGAAACTCGAACTGGTTCCGGAAGTTCACCAGCGTCCCAAGGCGCATCGGAAAAATGAAATCAAATAGAGACCATAGCTCTGTAAGGTTATTCTGCATCGGGGTCCCGGACAGAATGATCCGATGGGGTGTTCGGAGCTCCTTGCAATGGATGGTAATCGAAGTGTTTGGGTTGCGGATCTTATGGCCTTCGTCGAGGACAGCGCAATCCCACTCGATGGGAATCAGGAGGGAGGCATAGGTCTGTAGACCTGAGTAGGTAGTGACCAGCACATGCCCCTCCTCTAACACACGTTTGACAACCTTCCTCGCGGCCTTCGAGCCACCCTGGGTGCCACGGGAGGCGCTCCACGTCTCAGAGAGCAGCGCGTCTTCACGGCTGCTTTCATTGCGAATGTTGACCATCCCACTGCCAGATGTGTGCAAAATGGATACGCGAAAGGGTGGCCACCAGCGATGGAACTCGTTTACCCACTGTTTCATGACCGTTGCAGGGCACACAACAATGGCGGGTCTTGTCAGTTTCTTACTGTAATGCAGACCGGCGAGGAAAGCAATAACCTGGATCGTCTTTCCCAGTCCCATCTCGTCGCCAATGATGCCACCGACTTGCTGCTGCTGCAGTTCCCATAGCCACTGCACACCCGTCTTTTGATAGTCGAATAGAAGAGGGTTGATGTCACCAGGTATCCGGTATCCATTGTCATAATCCACATCTGCGACGGTAGGATGGGGCATGAACCACTCTTCCTGTTCATCCTGGTCTACGTCTCCGGCATCCACAGGCTCGCCCCGTGCCTTGACAGCACGCTTTCTGGCAGCGCTCCTGCGACGGACCCAATCTTGAAGCCTTGATTGGTAAAGCTGTTCATTTCCGTCATCCATCCCGCTGAAATCTTCCACCTCATCCGAAGGCTTTGTGGCTTTTGCCCGTCCCGCCCGCTTTGGCTTTTCCTCGGGTAGAAAGTCTTCATCTTCGGACGGGGACTCCTGCCCTTCAGACTCCACGTAGCTCGCAGAATCATCTTGGGCCTCTGACTGGGCCCCATCGCCGAGATCCGATCCCTCTCTTTTCACGGTCTCACTTAAACGGTCTAATTTGCGCCGCTTACTTGCTCGAGAAGCAGGTTCTGGCGTCTCGGACTCGGAAGTTTCGTCGAAGCTGAACCCCGGCCGCACAAGGTTGCGATGTGAGACGGCCGATTGCTTCTTCATATGTTCCAGTGCCTCCCTCTCGTCGCGCTCGTCTTCCGCGTCAATAAGAGCATCCTGGAGACTGGCAAGAGGACCATGGTTTGCCCCAGTGCTCATGTTCGAAAACGGTGTGATCTTTCCGGTCCGAATGAGATAATCCCGGCGAGATTCATTGGGCATGCGGCCAGTCCCGGCGACCTGAGAGCCATTCTCTTGCCCCTGGTGTCGTTCGTCAATCCGTTGCTGGATCTCCGCGAGATCTTTTGACAGTTCAGCATTGCGTGCTTCAAATTTCTCGATTTCATTCCTCAAACGGACCCTGGCAGATGTACCAATGGGTTGGGACAAGCGTTGATGCGATTTCAGAATTTGTGCCTCGAGTTTCCTGTGCACGTGAGTATTGGGCGATTACCTTGGTGTAACCAGAACATACTGTTTCTCAGCGGCAGTCCTTTCGAGTCTCTTCTTGTCCCGTTCATCCGCCTGCTCCATGAGCAGTTTGTCGGCCTAGCGATTGTCAGTAGCGATGCCAAGACTCCAGGCGGGATATGTACCTGACGGGATATGTCTCTTTCGAGATCATCCTGGTTTCGAACGTCGGCCTGCAATTCTCGCAGACGACTTGCCTCGTCAGTGCTATCTGGGCCCGCAGCCGCAGCCTCGGGCGCATCTAGTTTGGTAGTCTCCGATTGTTCACTTCCCCGAATATCTTCTGTCGACCCGTTTGAGGTCGAAGTAATCGCCCCACCGTTCACATTCGCCTCATCCTTGGTATCTGAATCCATCTTGACATCGGCGTTTAACTTTAGTGTGCGGTGATAAATTCTCTGAAATGTGGCAGTTATACTCTCTATGATTAGATTGCCATAAAAACTCAAATAGATTAATAGATCGCAAGAGACCGCAGTGAATGATAGAAAGAATGCAAGATAGGCCAGCAGTTACAACCGGTGGCGTCACGGGTGTGGTATATCCCCCTGCAGAGGCCTGAGTAGGAGCCGATCTATTGGCTAATCGAGGGTGAGCAGATCTGCAGCATCGTCCTGTTCACGATGCCCCATGCATGACCAGGAAAGAGAGTATAGAGGATTCGAGACTGATGACAAAAGGATGCGCCTCGATCCATAATCCCGGCAGAAGGATCTCACCGACTGCAGCCGCCTCACCGCCCTGGAGCCTGGAGCCTGGAGCCCGATTGTTGCAGCCTTGGAGCCTGAACCGGAGCTGTACTGCAGCCTGAGGGGTTAGTCATCATCCCCTACGTAACTAGTTAGTTAACTATTCCGTCGCTCTCCCACGTCACCAGTTTCTCAGTTGGTTGGGCTCCTGAAATCATCGTGCAGACCTTCCTCCCGTCTCGTAATTTTAGGTACGTCTGGTAGACGGCGTCGTCCCACCGGGACGCCCTACGTGGTTGGGTTTGGCTTTCTTGCTGTTGGCTCTCTAGCAGCCTGGATTGCATTCAAGGTTTCCGCGGATGGTGCCCCGGGGCGTAGCGAATGCCTGCAAACGGCAACAATGATGTCCTGGGCATGGGGCAGACTTGGAGACCTCGAGATGACCGGTCATCTTCGATAGTAACGGGATTCTTGTGCTTTGTACGGAATACAGTGGCTACAGCTGTGTCTGGATCCTCGAGGCACCACCAGGCTGGTAATGAATGGTATGTGCCATATCAAGGGGCAAATGTCGACCTTCCCGATGGAGGCCGATCGTCAAGAGGCTGGTCGCGAGGCAGGCACTGAGGCAAGCGACGCAGACCGGCATCAAATAGGCTTCCCCACGCTGCAATGACTCAATTACTCAGTCCCATCAGGATGTCATCCCCGACCAGTGGCTAAAAGGGAAGATTATTATTTAACGGACGCTTTTGACTTCCCTGTGTATTCCCTCTGTCTCTGTCGTGCTGCCCCTTCGTTGCAAAAGCACCACCATTGACGGGGATCCCTACCCGAGTGAACAGGGGAACTTTCGGTTCTCTCGCAGGATCAATCGAATCGATCGCGGTGGTTAGGCTAGGGTCATTGACGTTGGTCCGTGGGTGGCCCTTCCAAGCCCCAAGCCAACCCAACGGCAAGCCTGAGCCTGAGGCTGCCAGTGCGCGCGCTCCACTCGTGCTCCTCCCGAACTTCACCTCCCCTTCGTCTCCTTCCCTTCTTCCCCTCCGCACTAGTCTTCCCAGTGCCCATCCTCGGGTTCCTCCCCCTGCCTGCCTGACTGCCTGCCTGCCTCCTTCCAGTCGTTTCCTGTGTGTGCACTGTATACTTCTGTTCGGATTCCCGTTCATCTCGGGCTTTCCAACAGTCGTTCAGTCACCCTTCCTTCCTCCCCTCCCCTCCTCCTCCCCCAACCTCCTTCGCGTGTCAGCTGCCGCATCGATATTGGTTGCTGCGTCGCACCCGTCATTGTGGATTGCGACCGCCCACTCCCCCCCCCCCCGTCCGTCCACTGGCCGCCACCCCCCCCCTCGTCCTCGAGCCCTCATCACCAGAACGCCTTCCTCTCGGATAATGAGGCTCGACGCAACTTAATCCTGACTTCAATTCCTCCTCGTGCCCCCTCCCCGATTTTCGAATTGCACCACCGCTCGCCGTGTCCCGCGTCGTCTCCGCCTGATTGCGCTACGTGCGTCTGCCGTCCCCGCTGCTACTATCTAACCCCCGATCGAGGTGCATGTGCGCTGTCGACGTGATAAATGATCATCATATTTCCGATCGGATCTCCCACTATCATCTGAGACACGTCGTGACGAGGAAAGAGGGGAAATGGACTCCCAGTGGCAGCCATACCAGGATCCCTTAATGGGCCACCATCCCGCGCAGTTCAACAACGGGTTGACGTCGTCTAATCCACAACAGCTAACCTCAAAATACGCCGGCCAGCCACAACACTCCCAGCCGCCGATGGGATACTCCTACGAGCCCTTCCAGTCCCCCGGCACCACGGCCAAGCCCCCTTCGATCGGGGCAAGCTCCAAGACCGTCTCGATGGCGTCCTCTCCCGCTGCGACGCCACGTAGTCGGGATTATGTCACCGATGCCGATACCACGATGGAGGACGCGGATCCGTACAACCGGGCCAAGTACTCGACAAGACCGACCCAGCAGAGCCGTCCGTCCTCGCAGTATTTCCCCACAAATGAAGAGTCGTCCGCCGCTCGCCGATACTCCCCAATGAACGTCTTGTCCCCCTCCATGTCGTTTAACGGGAGCCCGGGCAAGTCGCATAACGCGTACGCTTTCCCGCCCGGGCCCAATCAGCCTCGACGGTCGCCGACCAGGACCTCGACCTACGCCTCGCCTCCCCAGGCGTTTCAATCACCGCCCTGTGAGTATCTACGCGCAGGAATGATCAAAGACACCAACTGACTTCTCTAGCCGCGTCCCGGCCTCCTAGACTCCCTCCTTTGCAGCCCGCCGACATGGGCGCCGATCAGTTTTACCCGCCATCTGCCGGCTCCCAGCTTAGTGCAGCGTTTGCGCAAGATGGGAGGCCCCATCGTGCATCGTCTATATCCGGTGGAGGTCATCAGCCCGGTCGGGGCCCGATACCGAAATTCCAAAAGATCAAGTCGGTTCAAGAACTTCACCCACGCATGAATGTGCAGCCAGCGTACAGGCGTGCCAACCCCGAAGGCGGCTTTATCAGCGTACGTGTGCAAGGCTCCGACGTATATACTGGCACTAACCAGATCCCTCACAGCCTCTTCACGCGTTGACAACCCATCTCCCGGCCACCTATCGGATATGCAATCCGGGCTTCAACTACGAATCGTCCAGGAATCCGAGGCGGGTTCTGACAAAGCCCAGTAAGGGTGTGAAGAATGACGGCTTTGATAATGAGGACAGCGACTACATCCTGTATGTCAACGACATATTGGGCAGTGAAGAAGCGGGTCACAAGTGAGTCAACCAAATGTTCCTCCGACAAACTCCCGTTCGGTGTACTGAACTATGCCAGAAACCGCTATCTCATCCTGGATGTGCTGGGTCAAGGAACCTTCGGGCAGGTCGTGAAGTGCCAGAACCTGAAAACACAGGAGGTTGTAGCCGTCAAGGTTATCAAGAACAAGACCGCCTACTTCAACCAGAGTATGATGGAGGTGTCAGTTTTGGATCTGGTAAGCCCACTGATACTTTACGATGGACTTTGCTCATAATTTTTAGCTCAACAGCAGATATGATAAGAACGACGACCACCATTTGCTTCGGCTGAAAGACACCTTTATCCACAGGCAACATCTGTGCTTGGTGTTCGAATTGTTGAGCGTCAACCTCTACGAGTTGATCAAACAAAATCAATTCCGGGGATTGAGCACCACTCTGGTGCGCGTGTTTGCTCAGCAACTGCTGAACGCGCTGAGCCTCTTGAATAAGGCACACCTGATCCACTGCGATCTTAAACCGGAGAACATCCTGTTAAAGAAGTGAGTGTCAACCGATGCGCGGCGAACTTGAATGCTGACCTCCAACCAGTCTCGAGAGCCCCATTATCAAGGTTATTGATTTTGGATCAGCGTGCGATGAGAGACAGACCGTCTACACGTATATCCAATCCCGGTTTTACCGCTCGCCAGAAGTTCTTCTTGGCTTGCCGTACGTATCCTTGGCTTCCTGCCACACCCTCCCTTGCGCCGCTCTAACATCTTGTAGGTATTCATCTGCGATCGACATGTGGTCCCTTGGTTGTATTGTCGTCGAGCTCTTCCTCGGATTGCCGTTATTCCCCGGGTCCTCCGAATACAACCAAGTCTGCCGCATTGTGGAAATGCTAGGCCTCCCGCCGACATGGATGCTAGAAATGGGCAAGCAGTCCGGCGAATTTTTCGAAAAGACCCAGGACGAGTTCGGACGGAAAACATACCGCCTAAAGAGCCTGGAACAATACTCTCGCGAGCACAACACAAAGGAGCAGCCGAGCAAGAAGTACTTCCAGGCGTCGACATTGGAGGAAATCATCCGCAGCTACCCCATGCCGAGGAAGAACATGAAACAGGCAGAGGTTGAACGAGGTTTGTACTGCCCGATGTGTCGTGTGTATGCCTGCTAATCGTCACTAGAACTGAACAATCGAGTCGCTTTCATCGACTTCGTCCGTGGCTTGTTGACGATCAACCCGCTCGAGCGTTGGTCACCACAACAGGCCAAGTTGCATCCCTTCATCACACAGCAGAAGTTCACGGGACCGTTTGTCCCCCCAATGAACTTGAAGTACTCGTCGCTCAACAAGACGGTTGCCCCTGGGATCCAGCAACAACAGCAAGCTGAGGCGGCCAGTAAACAGAGGGCAGCGCAAGCAGTCCAGGCCCAGACGGCCGCGCAGAATGCTTACAACATGCAATTGAACCAGTTCCACACGCCCCCGCATGCTCAGCCGCCTCCGATGTACAATGGGATGTTCCCTGCTCATCAACAAGGCGCCCCCCCGCCATACCCCACCCAGCCGCCAGCCTATGGCCATCAGATGAACCTGATCCCGGGCCAGATGCCTCAAGGGCAATACGCGCCGTCCCAGAGTCTCTACGCGCAAGCAACAACGCGGGCTGGTCGACAGCGCGCGTCTACCATGGACCCTCAGGGTGGAGGTATCCCACCGACTATCCAGCGCGTGGCCAGCCATCTCGACCCCAATGCCCCGATTAGGTTACAGCCCAGCCCAGCGTACTACCCACCTCCCCCGGATGGGTATGTTGACAGCAGTCCGGCCAACCAGAGGCGCCGGGGAAGCCGTGCCGGTGGGACCAGGAACCGCGACTTCATCCGTACCCTTGAAGATGGCGTACTTGGGGGCGAAGGCTTCATGGGCCAGAACCAGTGGCATTGAGCGCACGCATGTCAGGAGCAGGCTGATAGCCCCTGAAGGTACATCAGCCCTACGGTTAAGCCATTCTCGCTATCGGGCCAGTACGGGCGCCAGGTGCGTTTATCGCGAGGTCGACGCAGAGCTGTTCCAGAATACCCTCTTCTGCTTGGTATTTGGAGCCGTGGTTGATTCACTTCCCCGTCTCTTTGATGTCAGGTCTGCCGAGACCCCCCTGGGCCCCTGATACAAGGAGTGCTGCTTTCGAGATGACCTGCGACCCCCGCCTGCGTGTTTGCAGGTCCTGGTTGGAACGCGTTCCTCCGCCCAGCAGGTCGGAGAACTCCCCGGGGAGAAGATATAATTAAACATCCGACCTCCGCCGTGGCGGCGAGCCCGGGTGGACATCCATCCTGGCTGCCGCACCACCCGCCGGGGGATCGGTGCACCTTTTCCTATAGTCGAGCGCTTTAGTGTTCCCGATGCTCATCCTCGCCTCTCTTCCTTCCCCGTCAATCCTCCTCGGTTCATGTATGTGGCTGTTTTCGGCATAGCCAGGAGTACTTGGAAAGATCGCGATTTATGTTGATTCTTGAATTTCATTCCCTCTACTGAAGATTTGCACGGAGATGCCTTCTGTTATGCGCCATGCGAGATATGCCTTTTTCTTCCGTGCCGTCGTTTTGTTTGTTAAAAAAAGAGAATCATGCTTGTAACTTTGGATATTGAATATGAATATGAAATACGAGGGCTGGGCCAGACAGACCGGGGCTGCTTCTGCTCCGGGCAAGGTCTTTGTCCACCAGTAGAACGCCACATTTTGCAGACTAGAACGGTGGTCTTTGCGTAAGGGACCCGAATAGAGTAGCATCTCCGCATCTTGAAAGGAGTAAGTATGGAGAAGACCAGTCTGGAGCACGAGCGGGTGCCGATGGCTGTCGACTGCCCGATGCGGTTAGGCGCAGACTCGCTTAAATTTCGTGTGTGGCTCGCGCCGCCCAACCTCTGTGGCTCCGAACCCTCACAACGCATTTTCCGTCCAAGCAAAAGAGCAGGTCGATCGGCTCTCACCTTCACCACCCTCCCCCCCCCCCCCACCGATACACGCCGGCAGATACGGCCCTCGATTTCCGCGTTTCCCCCCGATTTCCAGCATCAGAACACCCGCAAACATGTCGCGTTTCTTCTACGGTGGCGGTAGCGACAGCGACAGCGAGAGCAGCTCGTCCGATGAGGAGCTCTACAGCGATCGCGAGGAGGCGGAGGAGCAGTCCGAGGAGGAGTCCAGCGAGGAGGGAGAGGAGGATTCGGACGTCGACTCCTCTGACGAGGAGGAGGGCAAGACCGGTGCCAACCGTTTCATGAAGAATGTTTCCGAAAGCGAAGAGAGCGAGGACGAGGAGCGGGTAACGGTCGTCAAGAGTGCCAAGGACAAGCGGCTGGAGGAGCTCGAAAGCACCGTCAAGTTGATCGAAAACGCCGAGAAGATCAACGACTGGGCGGTCATCTCGACAGGTGCGTTGGCCCGGGGTGAAATGCTGGGGGATTGCGGTCGCGCGGTCGGGATGGATGTGTTTTGATACTAACCTGGGACTCTAGAGTTCGACAAGCTGAACCGTCAGATCGTCAAGGTCGCCCAGTCCGGTCCTACCCCGAGAGTCTACGTCAAGGCCGTCGCGGACCTCGAGGACTTCGTCAACGAGACCGTCGCCAAGCAGAAGTCCAGCAACAAGAAGATGAACGCCAGCAACGCCAAGGGATTCAACATGGTCAAGCAGCGTATCAAGAAGAACAACAAGGACTACGCCGCCCAGATCGACAAGTACAGGCAGAACAAGGATGGCTACATGGACGCCAAGGAGGAGGTCGCCCGCCCCGTCGCCGCTGCCCCTCGCCTGACCAAGATCGAGCGCTTCGAGGCCGCCCCTGCTGCTGCTGAGATCGGTGGAGACGATGGCTTCGCGACCGTCGGTCGTGGCGGCAAGACCCTCCAGTACACTCCCGAGAGCATCCTGAAGCACCTCCGTGTCATCGTCGAGTCCCGCGGAAAGAAGAACACCGACCGTCTCGAGCAGATCCGCACGATGGAGAAGCTCCTCGAGGTTGCCCAGTCCCCCTACCAGCGCATCCGTGTCTACCTCACCCTGATCTCCACCCGCTTCGATCTCACCTCCTCCTCCACCAGCAACTACATGGCCGTGGACCAGTGGAAGCTCGCCGAGCAGGAGTTCGCTACCCTCCTGTCCGTTCTCGAGAACAACCGCGACCACGTCGTGACCGAGGGTGCCGAGGAGTGGGAGGACGACGAGAAGCAGCCCACCGTCGCCCCCGGCGAGGTTCTTCACATCTCCGGCAGCATCGTCTCGTACATCGAGAGACTGGACGATGAGCTCACCCGCTCCCTGCAGCACATCGACCCCCACACCGCCGAGTACATCGACCGCCTCAGCGACGAGAAGCAGCTGTACACCAACCTGGTGCGCACCCAGGTCTACACCGAGGGTCTCACTAAGGCGGAGAAGAGCGACCCCAGACAGGACAGCCTGAACCGGGTGGTCATGCGCAGACTCGAGCACATCTACTTCAAGCCCTCCCAGGTCGTCACCATCCTCGAGGAAGGTACCTGGAAGACCCTTCCCTCGGAGCTGGACACCAACATCACCCCCCGTGGCGACACGGGCGATGTGACCAACCTGGTACAGGTCCTGTGCAACTACCTGTTCAAGCACAGCGACGGCATCATCCGGGCCCGTGCCATGCTGTGCCAGATCTACTTCCTCGCTCTGCACGACCAGTACTACCGCTCCCGTGACCTGATGCTCATGTCCCACCTTACGGAGAACATCGCCAACTTCGACGTCAGCACCCAGATCCTGTTCAACCGCACCCTCGTCCAGATCGGTCTCTGTGCCTTCCGCGCCGGACTTGTCTACGAGGCCCAGATCACCCTCTCCGAGATCTGCGGCAGTGGCCGTCAAAAAGAGCTGTTGGCCCAGGGTATCATCATGCAGCGCTACTCCACCGTCACCCCCGAGCAGGAGCGTCTGGAGCGCCAGCGCCAGCTGCCCTTCCACATGCACATCAACCTGGAGCTCCTGGAGTGCATCTACCTCACGTCGAGCATGTTCCTGGAGGTGCCCCTGATGGCGCAGACCTCGTCCTCCCCCGAGCTGAAGCGCCGCATCATCTCCAAGACCTTCCGTCGTATGCTGGACTACAACGAGCGCCAGGTCTTCACGGGTCCCGCCGAGAACACCCGTGACGGCGTGATCATGAGCGCCAAGTTCCTCGCGGCCGGCGACTGGAAGAAGGCCGCCGAGATGCTCAACTCCATCAAGATCTGGGATCTGATGCCCCAGCCCGGCAAGATCAAGGAGATGCTGTCCCAGCAGATCCAGGAGGAGGGCCTGCGCACCTACCTCTTCACCTACGCCCCCTTCTACGACAGCCTCTCCATCGCCTCCCTGGCCACCATGTTCGAGCTCCCCGAGAAGAAGATCTCCGCCATCATCAGCCGCATGATCTCCCACGAGGAGCTGGCCGCCGCCCTCGACCAGGTCAACGACGCCATCGTCTTCCGCAAGGGCGTCGAGCTCTCCCGTCTCCAGTCCCAGATCGTCACCCTGGCCGACAAGTCGATGAACCTGCTGGAGTCCAACGAGAAGACTCTCGAGCAGCGCACCCAAGGCATGGCCAACGCCTTCCAGCGCGATCAGGGCGCCGGCGCCCGTGGTGGCCGTGGCCGCGGAGGCGGCGGCCAAGCGCGTGGCGGTGCCAGATTCCCCGGTGGCCAACAAGGCCGTCGGCCGGGTGGTCAGCAGTTCGGCGGTGGTGCTTTGGGCGGTGCCATCAAGGCTTAAGCTTTAAAAATGATTCTTTAATGGCAATTCATTGATTTCTTTTTTCATGGTTCTAATGCTCGTCTCCCTCTCTCCCTCTCTCCCTCTCTCTCCTGGAAATTTCACCGCGTATGATTCCATGTGCTCTTTCCCCCCCATGGTCGAGCATTTTTTTTTTTCTTGTTTGGCTGGGCGGGCGATTTAGGTCCGTTTCTGGTTTATTTACTACTGTTGTCATGCATATCGTACTTTTTACCTATCCGCAGATGAATATTACGTTTGGAATGAACGAGAATAGAGAATAGAGAATAGACAAGGTTGGGGGTGCGATGTTGGTTGTAGATAGGATTTCTTTTGGCTGGGAGATGTAGAGTGAATGACATCCATATTCCTTGACATTGGGATTTTAAATTTGAAATCACTCGGAAGTGAAAAACGCCTATTTTTTTTTAAAAAAAAAAAGAAAGAAAGAAAATAGTATAGATATCACCGTGGTCCATTATATATAATTGGGTATATGGTGCTGACCAGCATCGACATAAATGGCAATGTCATGGGTGAGTGAGCTCTGAGCTATATATATCCCCGGCCAGTCGTACCCGTCCGGATCACCAGTATCCAGATAGAATCGCCAAAGCGAATTCAACCCAAGGCTCAGCCCTGGTCCTCAATCGTCGTCGGCATGTCACAGCATACAGCCACAGACATATGTACGAAATAAAGTTCCCCAAGGAACATGCTCACGAACACGCTCATCCACTATCATCCAGCAGATTCTGCGGCGACCAGTACTCATTCTCCTCCCCTTGAGCATCAACCCAGACCAACCCATCGGCTACTAAATCATCGATGACCGTCTGCGCGCGCGCCTTCTCCCACGTCAGGTTCGCCTGCAGCATCGAGATGCTCACGTACCCCAGCACCTGGATCACCTCGAGCACGGTGGCCTGGTCCGTGTTGAGCTCCTTGGGCACCGACCGGATATACTGTTTGCTTCCGACGCGGACGATGGAGAAGCCGGATCCTAGCGGTTCGAGACTTTTCACGGCGCGGAGGACGTCGTCGCTGTCATTCAAACCTGCGTTAGCATCTATGCCGTATAACCCCCCGATAATAGGAATAGCAATAGCAATAGGAATGTGAATGAGAATAAGAAAGAAAATGAATACATACTCCGTAATCTCCAACCCACTCCCAACCGCCTTCCCTTTCCCCACGCGCCTCCGACACTCCTCCAATCCAATCAACCCGCCATTCTCACTCCTCGTGCCCCGACACAGCTCAACCACCCGCACCGCCACCTCGAAGTAGAAATCGTTCATGTCCCCGCCCATGATCTGTGTCCAGAAACTGCCGATCTCGCCGAGCCCCTTCCGCGCATTCTTGCCTTTCACGTTGCTCGCCGCCAGCGGGTCCACCCCGATCGCATTGCACATTCGCGCGAATTCGGCGCGGAAGGTCGGGTTCGATTTGATCGTGGAGCTGTGTTCGAGCGCAAAGGTGTGAAGGAGGGATTGAAAGACTGATAGTTGCGTCTGGAGGGATGTGGTGTGTGTTGAGCGGAGCGTCGCGCCGTGGTTGGCGAAGGATTGGCTGGCTTGGGTGCGGTTCGCGAAGGCACCTAGGCCGACGCCGCGGCGGGTGGACATTTTGGGATGGGATGGGATGGGGTTTGTTGGGAGGTGGGTGAGTGAGTGAGTGGGAGGGGAGGGGGAGGGGGAAGGGAAGGTCGTGGGGTAGAGATGGTGGTGGTGGTGGTCGTTATCGGGCACTCCGTCATCCAGGCATCGAGGCACTGAGGCACTGAGGCACTGAGGCACCCGGGCTACAGTTCTTATCGACGAGTCAGGTGACAACGGACTGCCCTGTGCGATAAGGGCTGTGGTGACCGAAAAGGGCGAGACGGGGCGGCCAGTCACGCTAGCCAGGTCCGGACTAGCCCGGCTCCACCCACAAACGCATTTTCTTCGACGGCCGCAGTTTTTTTCTTCTTGATCTTCTTCCAGTACGACAGCCTTCGCCAACTGCCCAACTCGCGAACTCTACGGACCGTCACAATGGCCTCCACCGCTGCGTGAGTGTTCCCTTGAGGACTGATCGCACGAGCCGTAAGGTTCAGATATAGTCGTCCTTCTCGCTGGAGATGCTGCGATCCGAAATGGTCGCTGAGCACCAGCTCGATTCTTCCCGCGCACCCGCTCTCTCCCTGAATCAAACCGCCTGAAAAATGTGTTGGAACACGAGGATGGGATTGAGATGGGTCTGGGGTTTTGGGGCTGAAGGCTCTGCCCTTCTCCCTAAAAAGGATTGTTGGGAGCTATCGTCGTCGGGACTCTTGCCTTCGGGCCCAGGGCGACGACGAAAAGCCTCAACATCTCTTCCCGAGCGTCATGCTTGGGGTCTTGTCGGCTGAGGATATTCGCTTGCCATTGTCACTGGATGAACGCCGCGCTGAGATATGCCGGATTAGTAGTCTGCTTGAAGGTGCTTGGCAGGTGATGTTCCCCCTCACCGATCAAATCCATGTCGTCGAGTGCTTTATCATTTGCCTTCAGTCTGAGAATGTGGCACTATAGCTGCAATTCTTACACTCGGCGAAAGTCCATGTGTTATCGCTGCGGACATCAACTGACCTCCACAGCACCGTCCCCACCCAGGAGCAGGTCCTCGTCCCCGAGACCCTCCTCAAGAAGCGCAAGTCTCAGGAGCAGGCTCGCGCTGTCGCCCGTGAGGAGGCCGAGAAGAAGAAGGCTGTAAGTGTGCACCATATTTTTTTCTTTTACTCCTTTCCTTCAGTGATGACAACACACCATTCACGCGACTAGACTACGGTCAATGCTGTCGCTTCGTTAACCATCTTTCGGGGCTGATATTGAAGCTTCAAATGATTTTTTTTCTTATACATCATTTGCGAGACTGCATGCTAACTGTCTCATCAGGCCAACAAGGAGAAGCGCACCGTCATCTTCAAGCGTGCCGAGTCCTACGTCAAGGAGTACCGCGATGCTGAGCGCGAGAAGATCCGCCTTGCCCGCGTTGCCCGCAAGGACGGTAACTTCTACGTCGCTGACGAGCCCAAGCTGGTCTTCGTCATCCGTATCAAGGGGTATGTCCAGCCTCAACCCGTCTCCATCTGAACCCGTCTAACAGCCTGCAGTATCAACAAGATCCCTCCCCAGCCCCGTAAGATCTTGCAGCTCCTCCGTCTGCTCCAGATCAACAACGGTACCTTCGTGCGCCTCACCAAGGCCACCCAGGAGATGTTGACCATCATCAACCCCTACATCGCCTACGGTTACCCCAACCTCAAGTCCGTCCGTGAGCTCGTCTACAAGCGCGGTTACGGCAAGGTCGACAAGCAGCGCACTCCCCTCACCGACAACCAGATCATCGAGGAGAACCTCGGCAAGTACGGCATCGTCTGCATGGAGGATCTGATCCACGAGCTGTACACCGTCGGCCCCAACTTCAAGCAGGCCAACAACTTCCTGTGGCCCTTCAAGCTCTCCAACCCCACCGGTGGCTTCCACACCCGCAAGTTCAAGCACTTCATCGAGGGTGGTGACTACGGTAACCGTGAGGAGAACATCAACGGCCTCATCCGCCAGATGAACTAGATTGTTTGTCTGCGATGGCTGTCCGTACCGGTTGTGAAGGGGTGTTTTAGTTTTCCTAGTTAGCGGGTTCCTGGTCTGAATCTGGGTATAATTTAAACGCTTCTACAACCTACATACGTATCGCTTTGATTGTAAATATCTGTAAATGTGTATAATCCGTACCTACCTGCCTTGTCCAACCCTCGTATGGTATTCCGTACCCTGCTTTTCATACCTTAGTACCTAACCCTAGGTCTGGTCCCTAGGTAAAGTACCTGGTATATACTAAAGGTACCTCGCCATCTGAAGCCGTCAAGTTTCTATTCCGTCCTTGTCTGAAAGAAGGCTGTTTTGTTCTGTCCGTCCTTCCACACTTCATCATACACAACCAACATAACTTAAACAAACAACAATTGCCATCTCTTCTTATATTCTTCCACGACAGGTATCTAATAACAGCTCTTAAAGCAGATCTATACATCACCCAACTCTCTTGTCTTATTAATTTACCATCACCCCAACCCCCTACACCTCCCCTCCAATATCCCCCTATCATCATCACTCCCTTGTTAAAACCCCCCTACAAAACTCCCTCCACCCCTCAATCCTCAAAAACGGCGGCTCCGGCACCCCCCCCTCCTGATCCCTCCACTCCTCCCTCGGCGGAAACGGCGACCGATCAAACACCAACTGATACATATACTCGGGCGCCCAGGTCCTGGGCGCCGGTCCACCGGCCCGCTCAAACGCCGCCCGGAATCGCCCCCGTTCCAGCCGCACGATGTACGTCTTGGGCTCGAAGGCCGCGTCGAGCAGGTTCTCGCCGTTGAGGATGTAGGTGTCTGTGGGGCCGCGGGTGGTGATGGGGTGGGGGTGAGGGTTATTTCTAGGGGGAAGATGAGGAGGGTGGTGGTGGTGGTGGTGGTGGGGGATTCTGGAGAAGAGGGTCCGGGGTTGGGGATGAGGATTTGGTCCAGAGGTTCCGCGGAGAGGCATTTCCAGTGCGTTTCGGCGGCGATCCATGCGTTGAAGATGTGGCGGAGGATGAGCTGGATTTGGATTTCTGGTTGTTAGGTATGTTGTTGTTGTTTTGGGGGAAGAAGAGGGGAGGGGATGGGAGGAGATTTACTTCGCCGGTGCCGTTTTCGTAGAAGACGATCTGGATCTCGTTCTCCGAGTCGAGGGTCCAGGTTCCTGTGAGGATGGAGAGGATGGAATTGGATTCGGGAATCGACATGGTGGGGATGTCTTTGGCTTTGGGGTGTGATGAGAGGATGAGTCGGTGATTAAGTGGGTTTGGTTGGACGGTGATAGGATGGATGGGAGGTGGAGAGGTTTGGTTATGGAGTATTATTGGTGATGGTTTGATGGAGGGAGGAAGTAGAGAGGATGAGGGATAAGAGAAGTAAACAGGATTGGAACAATGTAGGCAGATTTGTCAGCCGAATCAAATCAACTCTGTGCTAGTAATTTCCGACACCCTTTTGAGTGATTTGAGAGAGAGAGAAAGAGAGAGAGAAAATGTCAGGAGAGGAGCAGACAACAATATATAGGAAGTTTCTACTGGTAAAGATGTATGCAATGACTGTGCTCAGCGAAGAGATATTCCTCAGCAGCTGAGGATAAATCATGCCCCTGCTTAGAGCAGCTGTTCCATATCCATATCCAACATACCAGCCATGTAGCAGTGAGAGCAGGCTAAACCAAGATTGACTGTAAGAAACCAGGGAATAAGTTCCCAGCCCTAGAATTGCGGTCAGCAGGATGGAGTAAGGTGGGGGCCAGCCCGAACCATACATATATATCAGCCTAGTACTACGGATGATCAAGTGCTACATTCCTGGCCCGAAGGGAAGATTTCATCATGGTATATATGTAATCTTAGGTGAGAGGGGCTAGCCAACTCAGCATTATCTAATAGATGAAAGGGATTAGCTTTTCTGCCCTATAAAGTGTAGATCAGGGTTCTAACAGCCCCCGAACATGAAGTTGGGGGATCATAGCTAGCCCTACGGGGCTGGAATGTCTATACTCTGTAGAAATGCTTTGGTGTCTTGCATGGCGGTGCAGAGCGTAAACAGCCTTGTTAATTAGTTTGTATAGTGACTTGAGATCTGCTCCGAGTCTGGGGGTATCTATACATACATATAAAAGGAAGAAGAACGGTGCCCTAGATTAATTATCTCCATCACTCACAGCACAAGTCTCTACAATACACTCTCAATCCGGTCATTCATTTATTCCATCCTTCTCTTGAATTTTCAAGATTCTATTTAAAAAATCAACACTCGTTCAGAATGCATTTCCCAAGCATCACCAACCTCCTCCTCATCGCCTTGGCGACCTGGACTGCTGCCTCGCCCATCAACCTCGAAAAGCGTGGAGATATAGTCGTTGGCTTCCGGCGGGTTTCAAAGGTACTGACTTACTTACATCTCTTATATACTTACTCCCTTCCTTCCTCTACCCTCACACCCCCAATCCATCACACAGCCATCCCCATCCCCATCCCCATCCCCAGCACCACACTAAACAAAATACACCAGGAACAAGCCGAAGAATACAACAAAAAAGGGCTATACTTTGACCACGACTTCGAAATGTGGGGCAAACAGATCGGAAAAGGCGTGTACACCTCGCCGTCTCGAGACGAGTACGAGCAGCTCTCTGATCCCAAGAACTGGTACTTCCCCCATCCTCCCTCCCCAACAACCCTAACCTACCTACCAAACCCCCTCCCTCACCTCCAACTCCCCAATGAATGCAAACACTAACAAAAAAAAAAACAAAACAGGTACTGCGTAATCAAATCCCCCTCGCACTCCTTCGCCAGCATCCCCAAAGCCTGGATCCCAGAGAAAAACCCCTCGAACCAGAAACGTCTATGGAACCAGCTCACGGAGTCGCACATCGACGAGTACGTCAAGGGCCTGGGCGAGGACCCGGACAAGGCGCTCCGGCTCTCCATCATGCCGCATGGTCGCGATCGCACTCGCACGCAGATGCTCATCGTGCCGGATCTGGCTACCCATAAGCATTTCAGTGTGCGTTGCTATGAGAAGAAGGAGGACGTTAAGGAGGGGAGGGTCGATTATGGGGCTTGGGGGGTTAAGGGGGAGAAGGGGACTTAGGGTTATTATTCGAGGGTGAAGGGGGGGGGGGGTGTGTGTTGTTGTTGAGTGATGAGGGATGGTCATTGGGATTGGGATTGGGATTGGGAGGGAGGGAGGGAGGGTTAAGGATATCTATTCGGGTCGAGTGTTTGCTTGATGCTTAATTGGTTTTCTTTTTTTTTTTTTTTTTTTTTTTTTGCTTTCGGTTATAGTGTACTATTTGGGGAGCTGCTTGGGTTGGGTGATAGAATGTTGGATTATTCCTGAAGTTGGGGGGCATTTATCATATATATATATATATATAGTCTTGATAATGTCAAGTTTATGGTATAAAGACACCCCATTCCTATACTGGCACATTGACCGTGCACCCAGTACCTAGGTAGAAGTTTCTTCCCAGGGTAGACTAGCGTTACTCTGAGATTAGCTGTATTAAGTATCCATTTTTGATAAAGTGACACCTCCTGATTATCTACAACATCCAAGACTGTTGGCGCAGACAAGGAGCAGCCATATCGGGTTAGCGGAAATAAGTCACATCAATCTGGTATAGTACTTTAGGTAAGGGGTGTCTATAGAAAACAGGGGTGTGTCACCAGACTGAAATCCCATTACTATCAATGATGTAGACCAGACCTGACCGATCTATCCACTTCGCTTATGATGTTACACAAAAATTTCCAAAACATTGCTGATGGAGTATCCCTATTTATCCTCCCCTATCCGTCTACGCTTCGCAGCAGGCGTCATGGTGGACCTATTCAATCGTTGCGGAGCACGAGCACGCTCCAAGACAGGCGCAGCAGTAGGACTTGTCCTATCGTCGTCTAGGGCCTCCGTTCGCACGTGAGAAAGAAGCACCTTCGAGTACGCAGCCGCAGCAGCAGCGGCGTATTTCTGCCACTGTTTGTTCTTATGCGAGTCGCAGTAGTCACCAATACCGCGGATGACGAGTGAGGGCAAGATATTCATTATCCCCGCCGCTTCCATTTCGAAGCAGAGGACACTGTGCCTAGTGCCCCAATGATCGCGCGTCTCCGCGTCCTTGATCACTTGGTTTCCGGACGCGATGGTGCCGTAATGAATGTGTGGCTGGCTGGAGTTTCTGGGAGGACGGGTGACGATTTCGGAGGTGTCACAGGCGGTACAGGTCTCTGTTTCTGTGGGATGGACGTAGTCTGCTGTAAATAATCGGTCATTTTTAGCCCCGGGGTATTTGTATGCTGGGTTCTTGAGCTCAATCTGCCCCAGGTATTCCTGCAGAGGGTCAGACATCCCTGGAACCGACTGCATCATACTTAAAGTTGACCGGAGATTTCGAGGAGGAGGTTGTAGGCAGCCATTGAGTTGGAATGCGCCATTCCCCAGAGTCTTTCTCATATCATAGGTCAGGATGCCTCCATTCGAGTTGGTTGGCTTGCTCACTACGATGTCTCCGAGGCGGATATCCTTGGCGGCAGATGGGACCCCCCCGCCGATGCCAACCAAGAGGCAGAACTTGATCGAAGTGAAACTCCGCTTCATGTTTGCAGCAACATCCGCTGCCGAATTTGTCCCATACTCGCCGTCGGGGAGACAAGTGGCCACAATATTGTGATTGCACATCCTCCCAAAGACGTACGAATTAGGATCAGTGGCCGAGACGAGCATATCGCCATGGCTGCTGTCAAAAAGCATGATGAGTGCCGCAAGCTCCTGATGAAGAGCGCAAATGATTGCCACTTTGTAGTCGGCAATGCTAACACACGGCGGTGCTTGTGATCGCGATTGATCATGAGAGAGCTCTCGCTCGGGGCTCGATGGTTGGGTGGCTAGGTTCGATGTAGTTGAATCGTCCCATAAATCCAGCGACATGCTCTTGCCAGTACTGCTGTCACCCAACACGGGACTGTTGACTTCATTTGCTTTGAGACATGGCATTGGTTCACAAAGCGTTCTAGATGGATTACCAGTATCATCCCAGAACCACTGATGGGTTGAGTGGGATCCAAAGATAAACGCGCCACCTCTTTGCCGCTCATACTGAAGACCAGGCACTAGAAGCTGAGGCTCCATGCACGATGGTAATAGAACTTGAACGATGTCTGAATCTGACTCCTTGCTCTCCTTGTTGCAGACGCATTTGCCGGGGGTCTTCTCTGGTATGTACCAAATCAGGCTATCGGTCAACCTTGGGGGATAAGAGTCCAGGTTGCCGCAGTTGGACAACATGATTAGTTGAAGATCATCATCTGAAACGGCAAGATAGGAGCGGCCAGGGGGCATTTTGCTCCACTCAGAGCATGCATTGATCGGACGGATGATTTCTCCAAAGTCCTGACCAAATAATGTAACAGCATGGACTGCTCTTGTCAGATCCACCCATGCCCGCCCAGTGGGATCCAAGACTGTTGCTCGAGGGCATATAGGATCTCGCTCAGCAGAGATGTCATTGAAGTCCCAGCCCTCCAGCAGAGATCTCGGTGAATTGGTAATATCACTATCGATAGCCATCTGGTGGTCAAGCATCTTCTCTAGAACATCGTAGATCTTGAGGACATAGCCCCGAAACTTGATAAAGCTATCACCCTCTGGGTATACCTTTAACTTCAGGTTCTTAGGAATCAGAAGTACCTCTAGCGCGGAAGATGTCTGGTGTGTGCTCCTAGAATGTATCATCGACAAGTTCAATAGTATCACCGAGGAGAACTCATTCCGGCTGTTAAGCTCAAGTGAAGCACATACAAGGTGTAGTAGCGCACTCGTTCCATTCAGTAACCAGCCACACTGCCTTTTGTCATCCCAAAGAACGATAAACTTATTCGAAATCCATTTGAGTTTGTCCACATATTCATGCCGAGAAGTTTGAGGCGGATGATTTATATGGCCAATCCAAAAGGGCGCCCCCCCAATGAGAAGCTGACCGAAAGTGACAGAGGCATTACAGAGGAGACCAGATGCTCTTGGAAGTCGCGAATTCTTGATATCATACGAGATGTCCTTCGCCCCTGTGGAGGTCAGCGTGGACCCGATCGTCAGGTGAATTACAAACCTGCGTAGAATTTCATTTCAGAACACCATCCAAGCACATGGCGAGACGTCTTCAGTTCTGAAAAATGGATTCTGACGGGAGAGAGCTTCATTCCTTCCACATATGAAACTCGCCTGCCATCGTCTGTAGAGATCAGGTGCCATACAATCATATTCTCCTCACGGCCAGTGGGAACTAGTAGTGTCGAGAATCCCTTAATATAAATATTGCCTGCAAATGAATTGACTCGTTTTGTTTCAGCCAGTTTGGCCATCACTTCGATAGGGATCTCGAGACCGTAAGTGGGCTTCTTAACTGGCCTTCGAAGAATGGGGTAGCCATTCACAATGTGTGGATGGCGCAATAGTTTGTGCCAGCATTGTCCATTGATTGTCTGGCGAGGCTCTCCTTCATATATTTCATAGCCAATTATGTATACCCCATTACCGGCAGAAAAGATATTTGGTCGGACATAGGACAGGCCTGCGGAGCGAGCGTGAGAATGCCAGAAAGCAGCGCCCATCCACGATAGACATTCTCCAATCTCTGAAATTGAAGCCACTGTTCCTCTTACGGCAACATATAAATCTGTAGCATTAAGTAGTAAAGAACGCTGATTAACAACACTTATCTGAGTGCCGTCCGGTAAGCATTCTTGGTGTCCAAGTTAGTATCACGGAGACGCCTTGACTTGGACTGCGGACTGTACCTGGTAATGCGGCATCTGAGCCGCGTTTTCCCAAGAGTTTCTGTATCAGCTTCAACAATTTAATCCCAGTTATGGGCCAGGTTTGGCGAAGATATTCTAGACATGATATTGCCTGCGCTTCGTTTGCTGATCCCGTTATGGTAATTACCTTTCCTATGGCAACATCAGGAGGCTCGGGGTATGGCAGGTGACCAGGGGGAAGCAATGGATTCCAGTTGACTGAAAAGTTGGCCGAAAATGACAAAGGCCATTCGCTAACCTGTGGAACCAAAGTTTGACGAATGGTCTGACTTATCTTCTCCATGAGATTTGGCGCTGTTGGTGCGAGAACCAACTCCCGCTGGAGATTAGCAAGGAGTTTATCATAGAGCGGAGAGGACTGGATGAGGTTTCGATACTGGCTCACTCTAGGTATTTCTGGTCCCATCCTTAGTGTACTGTGCAGGCCCGACTGTGACCCAGATGCTCCTTTCGATTGTTCTGGAGGGTATGCATAGCCGGATCTTATCGTTCGATCGTTCCTTTCATGCCAGGTTTGTATCTTTTCCTCGAGCGAGACCTTCTCACTGCCAAAGCCTCTCTCGGCCATGGTGTCCATTAACACCTTATGTCTGCAGCGATTCACGATATGTCTATAAGCACATAGTCAGCCAGCAATAATCGCTCCCCACGAAGGCTCAGTATCACCTATGGTTTTGATGAACGATACCCATTATATCGAGATGTGCTCTTGAGGCAGGATGACGGCTTCCGAAGCCCAACACAAAGTCTTGCACAAGCATGTGAAGGCAGTCGTAAATCCCCTCCAAATAAAGATCATTCCCAAAATGGCGACAAATTGTTTTCGAAAGGTCTGTAGACAGGATATCAATGCATATCTCCATCCGATGCTCTCGAGCCACAGAGGCCCCCAAGTATTCCCCGTGATCAGTCCCTGGATTAGAAACCTTCCGGACCGCCGTGTTCACTGCGAGAGAGGTCTGAATATCTAGTTTGCCCTTCAAAGTAAGGCCTAAGCGATGGAATGCCTTTTCGGCGGTTGCTATTTTAGCAGCAGATGTACCCGCATACGAGCCATATCCGGAATCGGTCACGGCCTCATAATCACTTCGCACGTTTCCTTCCTCCTTTTCGCTTTGATTCTGTGATGGCCCTCCATGCTCGTGTGTACTATTTGCTCTTCAGTATTAAACCTGGCGTATAAACCTCAAACAGGACCTACTATCGTTCGCTATGTCGAAGCAGTTGGTCAGGGCGATGAAAGGTCATTTTGCACTGTCCACATGGATACCGTGCCTCAGGGGTATAATCCAACCCACACAGCCTGTCGTAGCCAGTTAGGACCATAGATGAATATTGGATAGCCGTATAGACTGAACCTTGCATCCTTTGTGGCAAATACCTAGAATTGCCAGTTAATATCTCCAATCATCAACAGTCGGGGTTTACTAACCTTGGATCCGGAATGATCTGACGGTGAACAACTGAAAGGCAAATCTGGCGACAGCAAAGGCGGTAATGTTTGCCTCGACACGTTCGTGAATTTACTCATCGGCTCCGACGATGGAGATGACGGAGGGGATTCAGGGTCTGGAAACGGAAGGTTGTTCAGATCATCCCTCGAACACATAATGGCGGCGCTCCAATCTGGTATGGGGAACTGTTATACTCGCTTCTTCTCGTTCCCTTGTTTGTAATCCCTCAAAATCGAGGATATTCGTGAGTCTAGCTTGACAGCAGTGCTGACGAAAAAAGAGATGACTGCCAGCACAGGTTCGTACAAGGCTGAGCCCCGACTGCCCGCTCCAGGTTGACCCTGTGAAACAGAACAACTCAAATAAAAGTGTCCAGATACTGATAGAACGTTGCACAAAAGTCCTGGCGGGTGTGTTTTGTCAGGACCTGTATGGTCCCTTTTCCCGGGAGGCCAGGAGGGGGCTTCTCCTTTTACCTCGGTGGTCTTCCGCCATGTTTTTATCCAGAAAGCCTCGCTGAGGAGCTGCACGTCTTCCAGAACTCAGCTGGGAGTACGAGTTCCGCGCTCGCACAGATCATGCTGGTCTGAATCATGGCTCATACTCGACGGAGACAGCTTCATCGACCTTGTTGATGGACAAGAAGCCTGGAGTCATGCGGGGAGTTGATCGGAGAAGAGAAAAAGAAGGAGTAGAGATTAGAGAAAGCGGATCGACTAACAGAAGATGGCTAACTAGTCCGCGGGGGGCAGGAAGAACGCCCCAGGCATCCACAACATCCAAGACTTTGCAGCTCAAGCTAGACCGTACATAGCTATCCCTCACATGCTTCTGACAACTGTCCCCAGAGCCCAGATTCAGTACCATCTTCTAACTCGTTCCCGCTCGTACAGTGCCTCCGAATAATCAGCCCATTCCTTCCTATACGCACACGGCGCATCCGATATCTTCCGCGCAAAAAAGGGTACTTTTGGACCGAGGACAGGAAACTCGGCCTCTCCCACAAAGCTGGCGAAGTTCCCATCTTTGAAATTGATATAGCCATCATACGCTGACGAGTAAATCCGACCCGTGTTGGTTTCACGACATCTGAGCTTCGAGTGATAGGTGTGGGATTGGGAGTTTCCTGCTCTGGCTTTCTTTGGGCCGCTGCTGCTTTGCGGAGCGAGTGCCTTTCTCTTGTATCCGGTGTTGGGCCTTTCATACCCCACGTATTCGTCGTCCGGATCGTACAACTCGTCTCAGTTTTCTTCATACTCGGGTTGATGATCTATCGGAGAGAAGGAGTACTGCTGCGATGCGGCCTCTGCAGATATGACCATGACACCCTCGAAAGCCTCGAAGTTGAAACATGCCTGGAAAACGCCTGGTTCGTTGGTGTCGTGGATATCGAGATGTAGATCACGCTTCAGAGCTAAATATGCGTCCATATCATCACAGTCCACTAGGTAGAATCACACGAGCGATTTGACTTTCCGAGCAGCGGTGTCGTTTCTCTGTTTCGGGAGATGGAGGTAGTCTGCATTTGCTTTCGGGCGCTCGCGCTCTTGTTTCTTTTCCGCAGTCTGAAGGCCCTTCTTCCCCTTTCCCATGATGGCATATCCACTCGGAAGTTTCCTCGACGCGGTGTTAGCCCTTTGTTTTGGCAGATGGAAGTAGTCTGCTTTCATTTTTGGGCGCTCGCACTCTTGTTTCTTTGCCTCGACTTGAAAGCCCTTCTTCTCCTTGGTAGCATATGCCCTCGCTGCTCTCCCCACTGCCGCCGCGTCCCACCCCATGAAGATGGTTTGCGAATCTGTCCCCACACCCGTCTCGTGATGTAAGCCTGCAACCTTACTAGCAGCGTCTCGCATCTGCTTAGCTTGATATTGGCTGAAGCGAGGAAGTGGGATCCCGACGACTGTGGTCGTTCTCTTGCGGTCTGGTCGTCGGTCGCTAGCACGCAGGAAGTACTTGTCCATCACCCATTCGGGATTGCCGGACAGTTGCTCTGGCGTGCGCGTGTTCAACCATTCGCGGTGTAGCTGGTCCTGCAGCGCCAAAATGTGCCTAGGAACTGTGTCGCATTTCCCCGCCTCAAGGACTTGCTTCAGGAGCAGGGTTCCATTTCCGGAGAAATGGCGTGGGTGAAATTCTACCGCATAGTGTTGTAGCTGATCGCGGACGAAGTCGGGGTGGTTACGCAGCGCTCTCTGGCCTTCTGATGTGAGTTTGGGCAAGAACATGCGTCGAAGAGACCGGCCGTCGATCCGTTCCATGCTACCGCGCACGGTGCAGAACCGGCCATTTGAGGAGCAAAAACCGTTGCGGGTGATGCTTTTGTCGACGGACATGACGGCAGAAAGAAAGGGTTGACCAGGGGGGTCAGAGATGGAACGAGAAACCTTCGGGAGACAGGCAATAAAGACTTTAGCTTCTATTGTCAGTCAGAGGGGAAGCACATCGACCGTAGCTTAAAGACGCCAGGTTTAAGGAGGGGTGTGCCAGTCATGATTCGGATTCGTGGGATGCCGCTCCGGCTGATTCACAAATGATGAGGATGAATTGACTAATAATAATGTAGCTACACTTAGGTAGAAGCAACAGAGCCAATTCTCGATATTGCTTTAACTTCATACTTCTTATAGGTGGTGTTCCAGTGCGTCGTTCCAAGCGTTAAATGAGATTTATTTCGGGTCATCATTCACCTGGACTTGGATCAGTGACATTCATAATATAACAATAGAGGTATTTTCATTACTTGTGGTCTATGATTTTCAAGAGCCTGGTTCAACCTTTCCGTATTAGATGAAGCTCCTTTTGCTAGTATATGTTGTTCTTATATTCGTTTATTAACTGTTGGTAATTTGTGCCAGAGGCCGAGAGCTGTGCATTTCTCTGATCTTGCGGAGCTATTCCACATTTCTATCTCTGCTCCCATCGGGATGAGATTAAGGCTGTAGCAGAAGACGATGGTGGTATCGAGTAATAATACCCGACGAAGACGCCGTTAGATGCCAGGCTGGTAGTCAATCATATCTTTATACCTCGACGTGACGTAACCATACTTTACCATATGCCAAAACCACCACGGGAACCCCTAGATCCGAATAACCTCCTGGACCTTCCTACTCTTTTCAACGACCAAACGAAGCTGCCTTCCCTCACAGCCCGACGTCGGAGCGGATGCTGAGGTAGTATGCGGGACCGGCTTAAAGGCGCCCTCTCGGAGGGTCTCAGTGAAGAGCTCATAGGAGGGGTAATCTGCCATTCATCAGCCTGGAACAATCCTCATCACAAACAAGCAAAACATACAGCCATCAACAAAATGCGCGACCTGTTCCTCGGTCATGCCCGTGCCCTTTATCGCGCGTAGCGTCCTCTCCTGCTCCTGCCGCCAATCATAGACATAATGCAGATCCTGCGCGTCTCTGGGAGGGACAGAATCAGCGACATAGCCCAACCCATAATAACCCAGACAGAACCAGAAAGAAACTCACATATGAATCAACGCATCCAACTGACTGCAACCCACCCAATTAGCACTAGCATACCCACCACCAACAAAAACCAGGTTAACCGAACCAAACTCACTCCGTAATCAAATCATACTCCCCCAGTGCCTCATTCACGACCCTCACATCCTCAAACCGCACATACCCCAGCCTCCCACGATACCCACTCCCCCCCTCCTCCCTCCTGCGCACCGCATCCTCCCACCTCTCCCGAAGCACGCTCTCCTCCCACGCCCGAAACCCCACACACCACCCCTCGAATATCACCACCTGCACCGTCTCCTGCCCCTCCCCGTTTACCGTCTCCCACTGCGACACGGGTACCCGATCGCCCTGTCCCGAAAACGCTGACTTATCGTACTGCGGGATGGCGGTCTGGCGGCCCGCGCGCAATGCGGAGAAGACTTCCTCCGCGAGGGTCAGATCGTGGGTGCCGGGTTGGCCGCGGTGCTGGAGGAGGGGATTTGAGGGGTGCGATTTGGCGAGGGCTTGTTGTTGGGCGTGCGTGAGATAGAGGTCGTCGAGGGAGAGGGTGGCCACGGAGAGGGAGTAGGGTGGGGAGCGTAGCGTGGATTGGAGGGTTGAAACCTGTGGGTGTGGCTGGTTAGCGGAAGATCATGTACAGAGTTAATCGTAGTGTCTGATGCTAGTGGTAGAGGCTCATTGAGTTTGGAGGGGAGGTACCAGCACGGTCTTCCCGGCGCCTTGCACGCCGTTCAGACCGAGGATGAATGGCGGGGTATTGGTGGGGTAGCGGGCGCGGTGGGTGGCGAGGCGCTCGAGGAGGAAGGGGATGCAGTGTTGGGATTTGTCGTCGATGATTTTGGGGGAGGACATGGTGGAGGAGTAGGTGAGGTGAATAGGTGAGAGGAGTGTCTGGAATTGGAGGAATTGGAGCTTGTTGTAATTATGTGGTGGGGGATGTTAGGATATAGATAGATGGCAGCGGACTAAGCAAGTCCGGAGGAGGTCCGATCCTCCGAGTGGAAACCTGGGGCTCCGATCTTGAGCAAATCTCTAGGCTTGTTTCACTTTCTGAGGTATAACTATTTTTGCCCGTTGCTGTTTGTCTTCCTATTATTTCTCCGGACAGTCTTGATCGCATTATATTTCTTCATAAAACTTTTTTATGTTTTGGTTGAACTGTCCCCTAAGTTATTAACCCGGTCAACGACGCCCGGGGGATGCTACACACCCCTGACTTCTCAAGAAGTAACTTCTAACGTTGCGAAATTTATTATACAGACTATCATGTAGTACACAATTCTGATATATTTTAGTAAATAGGGGGGACGAGCATATCTCCACAGTCTAGCACGCGCACCTACAACTGGCAGAGGTTGGCCTGTACGACGACATGGAAGGCGTGGGAGGGGATGTGGGTGGCCCGGGGGGCACTTCGAGCTCCTCCAGCGGCCGGGATTGAAATAAAAGCACTACGCACAGCCATATGAGGTAATTTAGAGCATGCAGGAAGGCAGAAAAAGAAAAAGCTACAGCTCACGGCCGTGTCCAAGGGGGTTCCAATAATCCCAATACCACATGGCGTGCCAGGACTAGTCAGGCAGTGAAAGTAGTCTAGATGGCCGAATGTGGTTCTGGAAGACGCCCACTAGGACAGAGTCATGAGTACGGTGGATCCTCTCCATTCTTTACCTTAATCGGGCAGGCTGGCAGCAACTTACACTCGTCCACCCAACTGTGGTTCACCTCCGGGCCGACGACGCTTTGGGCAGTGGTGGCGCCGCCAAGGAGAGAAACGGGCCACGACAAAATGTATCTAGCGCATGATTTTGATGGACTGCTAGGTAAGTATGATGCTTATTAATTGGGGAAACAAACAAACCGGGTGATGGGTGGACTGTCCTAGAAGTCAGCGCGGTGGATCTATACCATACAACTTCCTACCTGGGAATAGCCCTATGTGATGGCTTCGGGTGCCGCGGATCCCCCAGCCTGTTCAACGACACCCCCTGCATGCACCCCGGCCGTCATCGATGGGTCCTCAACCAACCACATATCGGGGTTCATCCAGGGCTTGAAGTATGGAACCATGTAACTAACGGAGGCATTATCATGTCATTATAAATGGAAATATGCCCCTCGTTGCCCGTTGGTGTCTGCTGTAGTTGCCGTGTGCCTTCTGTCTCTCTCCGACTTTCTCATTTTCTTCTCACTCTTTTCAGTCTCCGTGTCATTCAAGTCCCCAGACTGTGACAATTGAGACAAGCACCCCATATTTGTGAATTGGTGGCCCTTTGGAGGGTATGGACAGAATGGGGGACGCGTACTCAGCAGAAGCGCTGGAGCGTCTAGGTCGAAAGAGACCGGTCATCTTTCCCAATCTGACGTCTGAACTGGGATTCTGCTTCTCGCTGTTCCTGTCTCAGATAATGGCGGTATGCTGAGCCCCTGGTGCCCCCCTGACCTGCAGTGCTGACTGAATACCTATACAGGAATACTTTATCTCCGGCTTCAACGTTCTGCTGCCATCGTTAGCCGACAGCCTGGATATTCCCGAAGGCTCATCGAGCTGGCCATCAAGTGCCTTTGCCCTCACGGCTGGCAGCTCGCTGCTCTTCTTTGGCCGCTTGGCCGACAAATATGGCGGTTTCGTGGTGTTTGTGGGGGGGTTGACCTGGCACCTCATATGGTCTCTGGTGGCTGGCTTCGCGAAGAACGCGCTTATGATGTACTTCTGTCGAGCATTGCAGGGCTTTGGTCCTGCCGCCTTCCTGTCAGCAGGAATAATGCTCTTGGGGTCAACCTATCGACCTGGCTGGCGCAAGAACCTGGTGTTCAGCATCTATGGCGCCTGCGCACCTATTGGATTTGTTGTCGGAATTTTTGTATCAGGCATGACGGGACAGTTTCTCGACTGGCGGTGGTATTTCTGGATCGGTACAATGCTGCTGTTCCTGGCTCTCGTCACTGCCGTCGTCTCCGTGCCCGCCAGCATCCGCCGCAAGCCTCCGCACCCAAACATTGCCATGGACTGGGCCGGCGCGGTGCTCTTCTTTAGCAGCCTCATCCTGATCTTCTTCGCCATCAACGAGTGCGGCCATGCCCCGGACAGATGGGAGACGCCCTACGTGTATGTCACATTCATTGTCGGCAGTCTGCTGTTGATAGCCACGCTCTATGTCGAAAGCCGGGTAGCCGCGCAGCCGCTCCTTCCACCGAATCTGTTTCGAGTCCCACAGCTCACGCCGCTCTGCGTGGCACTGTTCTGTTTCTATGGCGTGTTTGGAATATGGCTGCTATACTGTGTCGAGTACATGGAGAACATCATGCACGTGTCGCCCCTGCTGGTAGTAGCGTACTTCGTGCCGTTCGCGGTGGGGGGAATCTTCTTCAGTATTTTAGGCGGCATGTTTCTACACGTCATCCCCGGGACGATGCTTCTAGCGCTCTCAGGGATCGGGTGGATGCTGGCGCCGCTGCTGTTTGCCATCATGCCTCACGACGTCGGGTACTGGCCCTATGTTTTCCCCGCCATGATCTGCGGTACACTGGGAATAGACGTCACTTATAATGTCACTAATGTGTTTGTGACTACCTGTTTGCCGGAGAAACAACAGGGACTCGCTGCTGCTGTTGCGAATAGTGTCTTGTTTTTGGGTATAAGTTTCTGGCTTGGTTGGGGAGATTTTACCTCCTCTCAGGTGTCGGGGAGCTTGAGGGAGAGGTACCAGGCTGCGCTCTGGCTGGGTGTTGCCCTGGCAGGACTGGGGTTGGTCATCCTAGTGCTCTTTGTGAAGATTGATCCGGCGAAGAGTGAGGCGACAGTGGATGAGAAGCAGGAAAAGGTTGGTGGGGAGGTGCCGAAAGAGAGAATGGAGGTGGGAGGGGATGAACAGGGGTAAACATTGTTTGATGCTTGTGAACTGGAAATCAGCTCGGTGGTTAGTTCTCCTTGCAAAAGCCTATATTTCTCGCGACATTAAACCGTCAAGCCCGGAAATGGATAAATGATATTGTGCAAGTCATTGATTGAGTTGGTGTTGATACTACTTTGTACGGTGTTGCTGTGCAAGTCACACGTGACATGACGTGTGTAATCACATGCCTGAGTCAGCAGAGCAGACTATGGAGGCCTGAGGCCACAAGGCCAGAATTCCGCAGGGCTGCAGAAACTGTGATGAACGATGAAGGTGGAAGATTGAGCTCCCGGTAGTCGGTGGAGCGGTTCGTCCACAGTGGTTCTTCAAGCCATCCATTATTACCGCAAAGAGCAAGACCCGACCTGCCCCATCGGGGATAGGTTGTTCGCAAAGGGACTGCCGGTGGGTGGAAACGGGAAGAGGGGGGAAGAGAGGGGAAGAGAGGGTCCAATTCCGATACAGGGCACGAAGGCCACCGATCGAGAGGCATCTTTTTCTTGAGAATAAGGGACCGTGGATGAAGGTCATGAGCAGAGTGGAAGATGGCTGGAAAAGGGACTCGACGTAGTTAATGGATGTCATCGACAGCAAGGAATCGGCATGTGAAGGGCAGTAGTCATCTGCCCGCCCCGATGGGACTAGCGCGAGGCCGAGCTGCCGCCCGTTCAGCTGCCAGAGATGCCGAGGTCCGTCTGCCTTCCTTGCCGAGCATTGCGACCGTCTTCAACCTCCCCCGGATTCCTCTCTTCTTCCCCCAGACCGAACCTCCCCCCCCCTCCTTTAGCTTCTCTCTTCTCTCCCATCCTTGGCTTCTTCATTTAAATCCATATAATACCCCAGCCTATCCCCTTTCTTCTTCTCCCCTCTCATCTTTTCACTTATTGTCTCTTCCCCTCACATCCCAACATGTCTGAGCTGCGCTTCGACAACCAGACCGTCGTCGTGACGGGCGCTGGTGGTGGCTTGGGCAAGGCCTACGCTCTCTTCTTTGCCTCCCGGGGTGCCAACGTTGTCGTCAACGACCTGGGTGGCTCGCATGCCGGCGAGGGCAAGTCCTCCAAGGTGGGTGCACAAATCACATGCCGATCCTCTGTGACCCGCTGACTCGAGTCTCTACAGGCTGCCGATGTGGTCGTCGAAGAAATCAGAGCTGCCGGTGGCAAGGCCGTCGCGAACTACGACAGTGTCGAGAACGGTGAGGCCATCATCAACACCGCGATCAAGAACTTTGGCCGTATCGACGTCCTCCTCAACAACGCCGGCATCCTGCGCGATGTCAGTTTCAAGAACATGAAAGACCAGGACTGGGAGCTCATCTACAGAGTGCACACATACGGAGCATACAAGGTGGGCAGACCGATGTCCCATATTCCAGGTTAATATTGACGGTCGATAGTGCGCACGAGCGGCGTGGCCCCATTTCCGGAAACAGAAGTATGGCCGTGTCATCAACACGGCCTCATCTGCTGGTCTTTTCGGTAGCTTTGGCCAGGCAAACTACTCTGGTGAGCATTAAGTGTATATCTGCGAGGGCCTGGCTAACAAATCAGCTGCCAAACTGGGTCAGGTTGGATTCACGGAGACACTGGCGAAGGAAGGTGCCAAGTACAACATTCTCGCGAACGTCATCGCGCCTATTGGTATGTTCATTTGGACCTCGGCCCGAGCGTGCACTGACCGTAGCAGCTGCGAGCCGCATGACGGCCACCGTTATGCCCCCGGATGTTCTGGAGAACCTCAAGCCCGACTGGGTCGTTCCCCTGGTGGCCGCTTTGGTCCACTCTTCTAACACGACCGAATCGGGCGGCATCTATGAGGTCGGTGGTGGACACGTGGCCAAGCTGCGCTGGGAGCGCGCCAAGGGTGCTCTGCTGAAGACTGATGCTTCTTTGACTCCTGGTGCCATCGTCCGGAAGTGGAACGATGTTAACGACTTCTCCCAGCCCAGCTACCCCACCGGACCCGCGGACTTCATGTCTCTGTTGGAGGACGGCCTGAAGGCACCCAGTGCTCCCGCGGGCGAGGAGCCCAGTTTTAAGGGCAAGGTTGCTCTCGTCACTGGTGGTGGCAATGGGTAAGACCCCCGCCCAGAATCGATGTTCGTCTGCTGACAGTTTAGCTTGGGTCGTGCCTACTGTCTTCAATTCGCCAAGCTTGGCGCCGCCGTTGTTGTGAACGATCTTGTCGACCCCGAGCCGGTCGTTCAGGAGATCAAGCAGATGGGCGGCCAGGCTGTTGGAAACAAGGCCTCTTGCGAGGACGGTGACAACGTCGTCAAGACAGCCATCGACACGTTCGGCCGGATCGACATCCTGGTCAACAACGCTGGTATCCTGCGGGACAAGGCCTTCACGAACATGAACGATGACCTGTGGGAGCCTGTTCTCAACGTCCACCTGCGCGGTACCTACAAGGTGACCAAGGCTGCCTGGCCTTACATGCTGAAGCAGAAGTACGGCCGTATTGTCAACACCGCCAGCACCAGCGGTATCTACGGAAACTTCGGACAGGCCAACTATGCCGCAGCGGTACGTTGAATGGCAGTCTTACATATTGAACATTGCTAATTGCCATAGAAACTCGGTATCCTCGGTTTCTCCCGCACTCTGGCCCTCGAGGGCGCCAAGTACAACATCAAGGTCAACACCATCGCCCCCAATGCGGGCACGAACATGACCCGCACGATCATGCCCGAGGAAATGGTCCAGGCCTTCAAGCCCGACTACGTTGCGCCCTTGGTGGTGCTGCTCTGCTCCGACGTGGTACCGGAGCCCGGCACCAAGGGTCTGTACGAGTGTGGCAGCGGCTGGTTCTCCTGCACTCGCTGGCAGCGTGCGGGTGGCCACGGATTCCCCGTCGATGTCAAGCTGACCCCCGAGGAAGTGCTCAAGAACTGGGAGAAGATCACCAACTTCGACGACGGCCGCGCGGACCACCCCGAGGACGGCCAGGCCGGTGCGGAGAAGATCATGGCCAACATGAGCAACCGCAGCGGCGGATCAGGCAACGAGATCTTGACGGCCATCGAGGCGGCCAAGCAGGCCACCACTGAGGGCACTCCCTTCGACTATGTCGACCGCGACGTCATCCTCTACAACCTCAGCTTGGGCGCCAAGCGTACCGATCTGCCTCTGGTGTACGAGAACAACGATCACTTCCAGGCCCTCCCCACGTACGGCGTGGTCCCCTGGTTCAACACCGCCCACCCCTGGAACATGGATGACATCGTGGCCAACTTTTCGCCGATGATGCTGCTGCACGGCGAGCAGTACCTGGAGATCCGGAAGTTCCCCATCCCGACGGCGGCCAAGACCCTGACCTTCCCCAAGCTGATCGACGTGGTGGACAAGGGCAACGCGGCCCTGGTCGTGTCGGGCTACACCACCAAGGATGCCAACACCGGGGAGGAGTTGTTCTACAACGAGTCGACCGTGTTCATCCGGGGCAGCGGCGGCTTTGGCGGCTCGCCCAAGCCCACTGCGCGCCGGCCCAAGGCCGCCACCGCGGCGTACAAGGCGCCTCAGCGCAAGCCCGACGTGGTTGTGGAGGAGAAGACTTCTGAAGACCAGGCGGCGCTCTACCGGCTCAACGGCGACCGCAACCCCCTCCACATCGACCCGGAGTTCAGTAAGGTGGGCGGGTTCAAGACGCCGATCCTACACGGGCTCTGCTCGCTCGGAGTGGCCGGCAAGCATGTGTTCAGCAAGTTCGGCGCGTTCAAGAACCTCAAGGTCCGCTTCTCAGGAGTGGTCCTGCCGGGCCAGACCCTGAAGACGGAGATGTGGAAGGAGGGCAACGTGGTGCTCTTCCAGGCGACGGTGGTGGAGACGGGCAAGCCTGCCATCTCGGGGGCGGGAGCGGAGCTGCTGGAGGGCGCCAAGGCGAAGCTGTAAAAGGCGAACGATGACGATGTAACCAGAATGTATATAACGATGCGTTGTTGAAGCAATATGACTGTTCCATGTTACCTTAGTCGAGTACTAAAGCTGTTGTAAAAGGATTACCGGGTGTGACTTCACTCTCCGCAGAAAGCGGCCGCAGTGGTGTCAGGTCCGTACGGTACGGTAATGGTGACGGCCGGCGGAAGTCCGCCGCGATCAAAGAAAGACGATCCGATCCGCGCCTCCCACTCGGTCAACTCTTCTCTTCTCAACCCATCCGTTCCTTCGCATCACCCCATCCTGACGGACTCCTTCGCCCCTGGACATCTGTCCTGTCTATTCTAGCGTGTTTGCCGATCCACTGCTAGCACGGCCACCCTCTCCCACCATCGATCATGTAGCAAGCTCAGTCTTGCCCTCCGATGCAACGATGGTGCTCTCCCTATCTGTCCCTAGCTTCTCTAGATCCACCACCTCCCCCGCGCTTCGCTCCAACTCCCACTCCACCACCATCAGCGAAGCTCTCCGCAACAACCCCTTCGGCCTCACCTCCCGCGCCCGCTCCATCACCGCCCCGACCGCGGACCAGAAGCGCGAGCAGGACGAACTCAACCACGCCCTGCAGACCCTCGCCCGCATCTTCCCCGACATCCGCGTCGAGGTCTTCCGCGAACTCCTCGTCCGCTTCGACGGCCTGAGCCGTCTCCCCGTCTGCGTCGAGCAGCTGCTCCGCCACAAGGAAGAATGGGTCGCCGGACGATGGAACGTGCCGGCCGGCACCGCGGGCTCTGACGGAGACGAGCGAGTCTTCCGCAGCTACGCGGATGACTTCCTGGTTCCGCCGGACGAGCTGTTCCGCACCCCGGAATACAAAGTCACCGTCAAGACGGTCCTGGCGAAGGAGTTCAGCGGACTGAGCAAGAGTACCGTCGAGGCCGTCCTGGCTGAGGTCAACTTCTGCTACCTCCGAGCCCGTCCCACCCTACACGACCTCTCACGGAGGACCTGGCGCGCCACCTTCAACAATATCCTCCCCTCCTTCAAGCGCAACAAAGATAAAAACGAGCACCCGTTGATTCTCTGGCAGCGTCAGTCGGATGGCGATCTGGTTCCGCGGCTGAAGGAGACCGGCTGCGCGGAGCTGGATCGAGAGCTGCACGACGCCTTGCTGGCGCCGCTCCTTCGGACCCGACAGGAGGAGCGCGAACAAAAGGACCTGCTGCTGGCAGAGGAGCTGAACGAGGGCGAGGCCAAGGCCGCCGGGGCCGTCTACGAGTGCGAGTGCTGTTTCGCAGATGTGACCTTCGAGCAGATCTCCACCTGCTCCGAGAACACGCACATCATCTGCTACGACTGCATCCGACGTACCATCCACGAGGCCCTCTTCGGCCAGGGCTGGGGGAAATCCGTGGACGTGGAGAAGTCCACGTTGAAATGTCTGGCGCCGTTTGGATCCGACGTCTGCCACGGGACGCTGGGCCCGGAGATCGTGAAACGGGCGATTCTCCTCGACAAGGCCGGGCTGGAGACGTACGGGAAGTTCGAGACCCGACTAGCTTCAGACGTGCTGCTCAGATCCCAGCTTAAACTCATCCGATGCCCGTCCTGCTCCTACGCGGAAGTCGACCCGATCTACCACCCGTCCGCGACGGGTCTGGCCTGGCGCTACCGTCGAGACGGGGTTTTCAGCACCGTTCTCGTCACCATCGCCCTACTCGACATGGTACCCATGCTGTTCATTATCTACATGATCTCCTACCTCCTCGACTCCTCCGCCGCATACACCATCTTCCACAACGCCCTCCTCAACCTGTATCTCAAGCACCGCCCGAAGAAATTCACCTGCGCCCATCCCACCTGCCGACGGACCAGCTGCATCACCTGCCAGAAACCGTGGCGTGACCCCCACGTCTGCCACGAGCCCTTGCTCCTCGACCTGCGCGCCACCGTCGAGGCCGCCCGCACCGCCGCCGTCAAACGCACCTGTCCGCGCTGCGGCCTCTCCTTCGTGAAATCCTCCGGCTGCAACAAACTCACCTGCGTCTGCGGCTACTCCATGTGCTACCTCTGCCGCAAGGCCCTCGGCGCCCCCTTGAACCCCGCTGACCGCCTCGCCCGCGCCCTCCGCCGTCCCCATCCCCACCGCCGCGGCGGCGTCGCCGCAGAGAACATCGACCCTCTCGGTCCAGCCCGGGACCCAGACCCCGCTGATATCGATGACGACGACTTCGAGGAAATGGAGGGCTATAAGCACTTCTGCGAGCATTTCCGCGTCAATCCGGGCTCGCGCTGCTCCGAGTGCAACAAATGCGAGCTATACCAAGATGAAGACGAGGAAGCGGTCGCAAGGCGCGCGGGCGAGCGCGCCGAGCGCGATTGGCATGTCCGGCAGGGTTCGAAGGCCGAGGGCGGCGGTGTCGGCGTGGCGAATCTGCGTGTGAATCGCGATTTCTCGGACCGGAGGGGGGGATTGGCGCTGGCGATGCCGGGGAAGAACTGGTCATACTGGGTGGATGAGGTTTGGCGGGATGGGCGCTGGAGGGTTGAAGGCCAGGCGTTGGTCGATTGGGTGGTTGAGGGGTTGATTGTTATAGACTGATTGATCGATTGTGATTACTCTTTTTTTCTGTCGGGATGGGTTGATTCTTGGGTATTCTGCCTTTTTTCATTGCTTTGAGTTTTGCTTTTGCTTTTGCTTTTGCTTTTGCTTTACTTTGGGCATTGGAGTTGGAGCTGGTGATGTATAGGGATTGGCGTTTGGTTTTGTTTGGCGTTGGACGGTGTCTGTCTGGTTCTGCTTAAGATCGACTGAAGATCTGCTGCTACTACTACTACTATTACTACTGCTACTGCTCTAGTGCTGCGGCACTTTCCTGTCTGTATTGTGTTGTGTTTGCTGCTGGCATACAAACTTGGATAAGACAGACCACTTCCTCACTTTACTTACGTTACTTCACTTTACTTTACTTTATTTCGGCTTCGCTTCGCTTGGCTTGATGATGTGATGATTATGGCATGACTCTCTCCCCTCTCCCCCTCTCTTCTCTTTCCGGTTTATTTTTCTTTTGTTCTACTCTATGTTGATCTATCATATCTTATTCTTTGTTTCCTTTGGCTCGGCGGGGTTCTGATCCCGGGTAGGGTAGGGTGTGGTGTGTGGCTAGTTAGTTAAGTGGTAGGTGCCAGGTGGTAGGTATAGGTAGGTAGGGTAGTTACCAAGCAACCTAGATATCCAATCTAGAATTATTATACTATATTATTGCTAGCAATTAGTACCCCCCCCCAAAAAGCCCCGTATGGAAGAAGTAAGAAGTGAATGTTCGTCTATATACTTCATCTTCTTCTTCTTCTTCTTCTTTCTTCCTTCTATTTCATCTTGATCTACTTGAACTCATCGTCAGATCTCAAGTCCGGAATTTGAAGTTTAAGATAGGTGGTGGATAGATAGAAAGTAAATAATTAAATAGGACTGACAGCGCTAATTTTTAACTTTATCTTTATCTATTCACTATCTATCTTAAACTTTAAATTCCGGACTTGAGATCTGACGATGAGTTTAAGTAGATTAAGATAAAATAGAAGAAAAAAAAAAAAAAAGAAGAAAAAATAAGAAATAAATTTATATATTTTATTTTTTTCTTCTTTTTTTTTTTTTCTTCTATTTTATCTTAATCTACTTAAACTCATCGTCAGATCTCAAGTCCGGAATTTGAAGTTTAAGATAGATAGTGAATAGATAGGAAGTAAGTAACTAAGTAGGGCTGGCGGCGCCAACTTTTAACTCCATCTCCATCTACTCTGTCTAATCTACTCTACTCTCCCCTCCTCTACTCTACTGATAAATAAATAGTACCACCACTCCTACAACAGCTACAGCTCCAGCTACAACTACACAACCCAACCCAACCTAACGAGCAAGTCACTATCACTTTTACTATCACTATCACAGCAAATAAATAGATAGTATATCTATCTAATCTATCCATTCCATCTATCTATCCAATCCATCCATCCAATCCATCCATCCAATCCATCCAATCAAGGATATGATGTGATATGATATGATACCATCACAACACATCAAAAAACAACACAACAGCGGCAGCAAAAGCCGAAATCTAACTTTAAAAATGAGCAACTAAAAGGGAAAGGGAGAGGCGTAAGTCATCCGATCCAATCCAATCCAATCCCGTGCGATGAGCAGTATATCTAGGTGGTGCAGTGCAGTGGAAGTTGTGCAGTGGAAGTAGTGCAGGTAGGTTAGATAGGTTAGGTTGTATAGTCATTATGAATAAGAATCAAGCAATGGATCCCAAGGGAAACAAAACATGAATAACCAGAGATGGATGTGAATGACAAACAACAGAAGGAGGAAGATGACATAAGAAAGAAATCATCAGCAACATCAGCAACATCAATCAGGAGCAAAACAAGGTCTAGATCTATCCCGGACGCCAATATGCCCAAAAAAAATGAAAAAGAAAGATGAAGAGATACAAACGCCAGTCCTGTAATCCAGTCTCTGGTGAGATAGATGAGTGGAGAGTACATCGGTAAATCAGTCAGTCGATCAGTTAGTAAATGAATAAGTGAGATAGTTGTGGCCGTCACAGGTTTATCTGCGTCGGTATCCGTATCCGTCTCCGTATCTGTGCATGTCTGTGTATATGTGGATGATGTATGTGCGCAGCCTCAACAACCCCAACCCCAATAGCAACCCCAATAGCAACCACGACGAATCGCAACCAAAACGGCAGACGACACTAAACCGCAAACCCCACAGCATGATCTGCCTCAGCCGTCAAACCCCAAAGCAAAAGCAACCCGACTAAATAGCCGACTGCTAACTCACTCACCCCCTCTCCAAATACTCCATCAACGAAGCCCTCATGCGCACATTCACCACGCCACCCACACCATAAGCAGGGACAATCTTGCCCATCCTCGCAAAACAGCTGGGGATGTAATCTCTCCGAATCCTGGAGGCGCGCTCGCGCCACCCCAGCCCACCCGGCGGCTGCCGGTTATACAGGTCCAGACCGAGCAGATGCATGGGCGTGCTGGCGAACTGCATCAGCGCGGGACAGGAGAACTGGGCGATGGCGGCTTTCATGCCGGGGGTGGCGGCGATGGAGTCGGGGATGGAGGGGGCGACGAGCGAGGGGATGTTGAAGGAGGCGAAGATGGTGATGCTGTCGCGGAGGCAGAAGAGGGAGTAGGAGAGTCGGGGCACTTTGGTGCCGGAGGGGTGGCAGGATGCTGGGGGGGTGGTGGGGGTTGCGATTGTAGTGATGTGCGGGTTGAGGTGGGGTGGGTGTGGGTGTGGATGTGGTGCCAGGTTGTGAGGATGCTGATGCTGCTGATGATGCTGATGCTGGGGGAGGCGATGCGCCGAAGATGCGCGCGAACCGGGCGTCCTTGTACACGCAGATGCCCATGTTGACGGTTGTGGTGGTGATGAATTTGGCGGGGCCGGCGAAGACCGACGAGAAGGACTGGTTGCGCATCGTCGAGGTGATGGTATCGATGGTGTTTGCGGTCAGGTAGGTGGATGTGTATAGGGTGTAGATGAGGAGGAAGGGCGTGCTGAAGAAGAAGCCCGCGGGTTTGGTGAGCATGGAGCGGAAGCCGGAGGTGATGGTCTGGCGGATGGGGACGCCTTTGGCGGCCTTCTCGATGATCGCGCTGCGGGGGAGGCGGTTAGTTAGCTTGTATTCTTGCTAATTTTGAGGTTTGGCAGTCGGTCTGACGGTCTACTTACCGGTCGATGACTGTGATGACCGGACATGTCAGCGCGCCGGCAGTCGCCGCACTGGCGACGTCCACCCCCAGGCGCGTCCCCAGGCGACTGGTGTTCCAGTCGGAGACTGTGCGCTCTGAGATGGCCGACATGCGGAGCGGCGCTTCCTCAGAGAGAGGCATTGTGAGGATGAGAGGGAGAGGGAGGAAGACAAGGTCAAGACCGGTTGACCGGGGCGAAGGGATGTCTGCGATCGTTAAACGTCATTCAGGCGAGACAAGCCGAGTATAAAGCGCCAGGTGGAAGGGGTAGGGTAGAAAGGAAGCCCGACGGATCAGAAGCGCATTGCGACCAGGAGACGTGCAGTTCGCCTCACAACAGGCATGAAGGAAGAGAAGAAGTCGCTCGATCACATCGGGGGAAGCAAAGCTGACGGCCTGCAGCGGACGAGAATTGCCCGGCCAATGACTGGCCTCGGGTTGCCAGCACCTCGGGTCGCTCTCCGATGCCGGCCGATCGCGCCCGATCTTGACTTGTCACTAGTAGATACTAGATAGTCGTAGTACTTTACAACTCTACGAGACTAATAATACTCAGGATGCTCTAGATTCAACCTTTTACACAATACACACACATGCTCCAAACGCCGTCGTCTCAAATCATGACCCAATCACGCAATAACCCCCACCCCCCAATCAGTCAATTCAGTTGGACGGGTTCGCCTGGAAGTCGTCCAGCGTGACCTTCACAGCCCCGGATTGCACCAGCTACACCCAATATTAGCTTCATCTCGTAGAAATATCTTGCAGGAGAAAGTACAAACTTACCGCCCGCTGCAAATCGTCGATCAGGTCATCGACATCCTCAATTCCGACACACAGCCGGATCAGGTCCTCGGGCATCGCCCGCTCCGCCCGCGTCTTCGCGTCGATACTGGCGTGGCTCATCCGGCACGGCATGCTGATCAGGCTGTTGACACAGCCGAAACTGACGCTGATCGCCCACAGCTTCGCGCTCTCCACGATCCGCTCGCTCACCCCGACGTCGCCCGTCTCGAACGACAGCACCGCCCCGAGCCCCGCGCCATCGAGTGGTGCAGCTCGTACTGCGGGTGCGACCGCAGCCCTGGGTACCGCACCTTGAAGCCGTGCGTCTCCAGGAAGTCCGCAATGCGCTGGGCATTGGTCTGCTGCTGGTCCATGCGCACCTTGAGGGTCTTCACTCCCCGCATCAGCAGCCACGAGTCAAACGGCGACAGGCCGCACCCGGACGAGTTGATCGTGAAGTACAGCTTCTCGCCGAGACCCACGTCGTTGACCGCGATCACACCCGCCATCAGATCGTGGTGGCCCGACAGGTACTTCGTGCCGCTCTCGTACACGATATCAGCACCCAGGTCGAGCGGGTTGAGCAGGAGGGGAGACATCATGGTGTTGTCGACCGAGACCACGCAGCTGGGGTTGGCCTCGTGCGCGGCCGCGGCGATCGTGGGGATGTCCACGATCTTGATGAGCGGGTTGGTAGGGGTCTCCAGCAGAACCATCGCCGTCTTCGGGGTCAGAACCTCGCGCACTTTCTCGGGCGCCGTGGTGTCCACGTGGTGGACGATGATGCCGCCGTTGGTCGACAGATACTTCAGCAGGCGGTTCGTGCCGCCGTACAGGTCGTCGCCGGTCACCACCTCGTCTCCGGGACGCAGCATGCGGGTGATCACGTCCAGCGCGGCCATGCCCGAGGACACCACCAGCGCCCGCTGTGCCGACATGATCTTGGCGAGGTGTCGCTCCAGGTGCGTCCGGGTGGGGTTGCCGGAGCGGGTGTAGTCATATTCGCCGCCACCGCCGCCCGAGGTCTGTTTGAATGTAGCGCTCTGTAGAGATAGCCATTAGCTTCAATTCGTAGCATAGTTGTTTGCGGCGTGATAAGGGCGGTGCGTATGTAGTGTGCGACGTGATGCGGGAGGGCAATTAATTCGCCGTACCTGGTAGATGGGAACGCTGCTGGCGTTGTACTGGTCACTGCCCTCGGTGTAAACCAGCTCCGTAGCAATGTTGTAGCGCCGGCCAGCATGGGGGCTGGAAGGGGTAGGGGATGGGGGAAGATCGTGGCCCTCGAGGTCGACGCGAGGGAATGCCTTCTTGGTGGCACTGAGAGGCGCATCACCACCGGATCCTGAGGCCGACATCGCTGCGGGGACGGAACAGCGGAGACCGAGTGAAGAAAGGGGGGAGAAAAAACAAAGGAAGGGGGGGGGAGGGGAAGGGAGGGACACCACAGGTGAGACAAAAGCAGAACCAGGGATGAATCAATGGACAATGGCAGATGAACCAGAAGTGTCAGAGGATGGATGGATAGGCAATGACTGGAGAGGTATGGAAGGGAGGGAAATTATAACAACCCCAGAAGAGTCACTCCCCGTCGGCTTGAGAACTTTCCCGAGTCGGTAAAGCCCGCCCCAGATGCCGTCGCCTCCCATTGGCTGAACCAGCCGGGCCGCGATGTCGTCATCCACTAGGCCCGTTCGGGAAGGTTATGGCTGACTCATCTCGGCTAAGGCAACAATCGATGCCTGGGATTTGCGACATCACTCAGACTCTCTCTCTCGGCTACACTACGGAATGCATTGTATCAATCAAATCCACTCGAGATCATTATACACATGAATGTAGTCATGGTCTGATACTCCTCGTCCGGGCGAGGAAGAACAGACCAGACCGGGAATATAAACACGGCATCCAGACCAGGTATATAACATGAAATCAGAACTAACTACCCGGAGCGAGGCCCATTCATTGACCCAGGGAAATCGCCCGTGTTAAACTCAATCGCTATACGAGACTGCGGTTATGTTGCTAAATCGCCGAAACTACCGTTGATGCCGAAGAATTGGAACCTGAGTCAAAGTTAACATAAATGCTCGGGTGTGCGCGGGGTCGGGGCGACAACATACCAGTCCTCCACATTGAGAGTCGTCGGAGCCGTCGGACCGCTCCGTGAGCTGCTGCTCCAGTTGTCATCCTGGCTGGCTGCATCCATGGTCGTCGCGCCCAACGGAGCGTCCAGGTTCTGCATCGGCCACGGCTGTTGGTTTTCCATCCCAAACACCTGCGGTGGCTGGCCCGGCAGACTGATCCCCGGTGGCATGTTGAGAACATCCGGGCTGCCGTGCGCGGCGGAAATACTGCCGCGTCCAGCCATGTGTGGAGGAATGATTGGCCGCTGATCCATGTTGTGTGGCTGCATGGGGGGGACCTGGAGTTGCGGGTCAACCGTGGCCGTCTGCGGAGACGTCAGTTCCGGGAAGAACGCCGTGCCATCAGGGAACAATTGGTCCGGCTGGAAGTTCTCCCACAGCGACGGAGACAGATTGGGCGAGGCTCGCGTAACAAGGAAAAGGTCGGGTGGTGTGGCAGGGAGAGAGAACTGATTAAAGGGCGTCGTTGGGCGCGTGTTTCCGCGAGAGATCCCCGGCAACACTGGGGCCGGGGGCGAGCCTTGCGGCACGCTTAGACTGGGCTGCATCTCGCGTGACGGCGTAACCGCAGGCGTCTGCGGACGGGATCGCTCGTAGGATACCGGAGGAGTCGGGCCTCCATTCGGTAGCCCGAATTCCATGTCGTCGAATTTGCGCTTCGGAGGCTCGGGCTTTCTCGCGGGCGGCTGTTGTGGCTGCTGCATTGACTCGGGGCGTACTCGTTGATGTCTCTTTCCCGCCGCCTTCTGAAGACGCTCCTCCAGGACCTTGTTGCCGAGAATGGACTCAAACAACGTGTGCACCATCTTAGCCACCAGCCAGACCTTGGACACGTCTTTGAGGGCCACCATGCAGATGTTGATGCGCTCTTGGCAGGTGGCCACGATCGTGGGGACGGAGGATCGCATTTGATACACGTGCATGATCAACGCCGAAAACAAGCTGTAGACACTGCAAATTGTCAGCATGGAACGGAAAATCGCAGATCCCGACTTACATGAACGCAGGGGTGTAGCGGATTTCACGGTGATTATGAAGGTTCTCCACAATCGAGGTGATCATCCCAGCAGCCTGGAAGGCAATGGTGCGTGAGGGATAGGCCATTTCTTCGACGCGGTAACTGCTCGGGACGGAAGAGGCGGGCGGCATATGGGCTCGATGCAGGAGACAAAGTGTGGTGCTGGACCGGTCAGCACTGGCCAAGAGACCTGATGGGAGACTTACTAATAGTTCGCATGAAGCAGGGCTGCCCAGAAATGATGCCGTTGCCGTTGCCAGCATACCTCCTTCGGGCAATTTTGGAGCCAATCCGCCAACGCCATGTCGGAGTGGGTGAGGTCCATGGCGTTCATCCGCCTGGCCTTGGAAGCGACAGAGTACTGCTGCGAGAGGACCAAGCCCATGATCTCGCAGAGTTTGACGTACTGCAGGAAGAACTGCACGTGGACCGGATCGGGCGCGTACTCGGCCGCAATGTCGACCTCATCTTCGACGAAGTCGTCTTCCGTCAACATGCCAACATCCGAATCGTCCGTGTTGATGCCAATGGGTCGCCCAAGCGCCACCGCGACCGACCGGTCTCGCGTGAACAGGGTCCACCAGATCCGCTTCCATAGCCTCTTGTCCGGTTTGCTCAGTTGGGAGGATTCCACGCTCCACGGCATTAGTGACCTCCTATAGCCTCCTGGGTTGGGAACCTACCTTCGATGCATACCCGAGCCCTGGGCCACGACCATCGCCACCCTTGTCCAGTAGAAGACATTCTTGGTCACATCTGAACGCATTAGTAAGCTCCTTGACAGCATGAGGTATGCTCACCTTCAGGTCCCTCCCAGTACCAGCCTAGAAGAACCAGCGCCTGAACGATGGTGACGCGGTCATCCTCGTAATTGGCGTCATACAACGCCTTGGCCCGTTTGTAAAATGTCATCGCAGCGGGCGTAGTTGACCCATTGGCGTCCATCAGCTGCGGGTTCGTACAGACCCTCGAACCAGCCAGAAGAATCGCCTGAAGAAGAAGCAAGGAAGGCGGGTTTTTAGGGTCGCGGTATTGCCGCAGGAAGCGGCTGCGGTTGACAATGGGCACCACGGGCGCAACCCATTGGAAGTAGGCTTCAACCAGCTCGTCACACAATGGCTTCGGAGGCAGAAGAAAGGCCCCGCGTTGCTTCAGGATTTCCAGCTCCAGATTGTCCAGATCCGTCAGCCTGGCCGGCGTACCGCCCATATTCGGCGGCAGAGGATAATGTACGACATCGGTAGTCCCATGGCGGTCCTGCACCAAGAGCGACAGGTTGGACGACTCGCCCAGGTATGCCACCCTGCCGGGTTCCTTTATGGGGGCGCGCGCAAATTTTGGCTTCATAAACTGGGCGTAGGCTGAACTTTGAGTGGCCTGCTGGGCGGCCTGCGTTTCTGTGAGGGAGGTGACGGGCATACCGTCGACTGCCATTTGGTTGTTGCGATAGCCGAAGGCATTTTCCTTGCCGGGATCGACTGGCAACGGCTCGGGCTTGGTTTCGGGCGATTTCTCTTCGACCTCTTCGCTTCTGATCGGACCGGATAACATGATCAGCATAGTCGGAGATGACAAGGGCGAGAGGCATACCCTTCATTCTCCTTCGACTTGGTCTGGTTCTTCTTGCGTTTGGGGGTGGGGATTTTGCATTCGATCGAAAAGGCCACGCAGTTGGTGCAGGGCACACCTAGACTGGCAGCATCGCAGCGTACCTAGCGGATGGGTGGCGTGGTCAGCAAGCTCGTTGTCGGCGGTCGAGCCACGGGCGCGGGAAACGGAGGGGGGGGGCAGGCTCCTGCAGGCTAGAGCCGGTTGGGCGGATAGCCTCGCGCAAAACAGGGCACTCACTTTTCGAGCATGGCATGTCTTCACAAGCGAGAGAAAATCAAGTCAGCCCAGGCCATTCATATCTCAGACAATTGGGGTGATGGGGATGGGGATAGAGATGGGATGCCTCGTCGGTGGCCAGCGATCGCGGATCAGCTAATCGCGGGCGGCCAGGAGAGCAAAGCGGATGAGCCGAGGTGCCGAGGCTCGCATCACCAACGCGACCTCGCAGGAACAGCAGGACGTACCTCGCAAGCACGCGACGCACGTTGTCTATTGAGAAGGCGATTAGATAAAGAAAATTAGCCTCTATAAGTTCTCGTCCAGATCTAAATCCTCCCCTTCTCCCCGGAGTCTCCCACATGGCCGGAGGAAGGGGGGGGGGGAGGGGGAGGGGGGGGTTGCGCCGAATCTTCACAGGCGCACACCCTCGACCCTCGCGCCCGCCCCGCGAGCGCAACGCAGCGAAAAAGCAAAGCAACAAAACAACATACCGTCTGAAACTCATATGGCCGTTGGGTGCCGTGCGCACCGTAATCCCCGATGTTCCCGTCGAGCCCGCAGTGCTTGGGGCCGGGCTGGGTCTGGTAGTGGTTGTGTCTGGATGGGTTTCTGCTGTGCTCATGGCCAAAGGGTATCCATGCAGAGAGCGACAAAGAGATGGTCTGGAGCGACGGGGGGAGGAAGGGAGGGAGGGAGGGAGCGGCG